TTGGGAAGTGTATTGGCTATTTCTTGGTTCCTGGGTTGATGCTAAATGGCTGAGCCACACTGGTGGGGCCCAAGATAGTCTTTATGTTTCTCAGAATGCCATAGATGGATTATGGTTACTCTTTAGAGCTTGGGTGGGTCTGGCTGGTCATTTCTGGTTGAAAGCAGTCTCAACAGGCTAATCCAGTTTATCTTAATCAGTGTCATATAAATGTCTTTATTTATTTATTTATTTATTTAGTCATAAGGTAAAAAGGTTAGAAAAACATTGCTCTATAGCATTACTGTTTCAAGGTCATCTTTACTCCTAATAATTTTAGTATACAAATTAAAGTTTAAGGTTCAAATGTATAATATAGCAGTCGTTTTTTTGGTTCTTATCCTTTGTGAATCTGATAAAGTCAAAGCCCTTCTTCTGAGAACATACGTCCATTCATTCATGCAATATTTTGCATACTTCAGAGGGTTTAGGTCTGTTCTGGGAAGATTATCAAAAGCCAAAGCATACTAATTTTAGAGGAGTTTATCTGCTTATTTCTCCCCACCCTCTCTCTAGTACAGCTTCAAAAGACCAGAGAGTTGTCCAAGAAAAATCTGAAAGAAAGCATTATACTGAACTCCCTTAAAATTTCCCAGGGAATGTGCAGAAATCACTATCAACCCTGAGTGGCATTTCCAAGAAACTCGCAGCTAGCTGCTCTGGGAGGACATGCCAATCACTGGCTCCAAGCTCCACCTCCCCTGGCAGTGCCAACTGCTGGTGCCGGGAACCACTTGCAGGTACAAAGCAATCTCTGCACACCTCCCTTTGGTTTGTGTTTATAGGACTAGAAGCTCCTCGTAATCACTCACAGTCTCCCTTCTCCACTGCAAGCACATAACCTTGCTCATGTGTATTCATCACTCCACAGTTGCCACTAATCAAGGCAACACTACAAATGGGGAACGGGGAAAAAAGGAGAGTTTACATCAATTAATTTTAGCAGCATCTTTATTGCAACAAAGAACCTGTAATAAAATGCGACAAAACTAATGTTTTGCTTTACATGATTAAAAGCTATGTAGCTGAAAATGAGAAAACCCATAAACTTACTGGTGTGAGACATGCAATTCTTTTTGTACAAGTCAATGCTTAAAACAGCAGGCACTTTATGTTCTAAAATTAAAGACCTGAACTCCAATTGTGCTGAATACAAACGTAAAATTTTGGGGGTTATTTAAAAACAAACACATGAACACTACTTTTTCTCTGTCTGTAAGGACTTCTGAAATGATTCCCTAGAGCTGGCTCTTGACAGATAAGCAGGAGCCAGCACCTTGCACTAACATGTCTCCGTATTTCAGGCTGCATGATGGGTCAGTGAGGCCGGGAGGGGTTGGAAAGTGGAAGTGAAGGAAGTTTCCTTATTCCTTTATGTCTGCCAGAAGTGGACAATCACACATCTTAGTTTATATAGGGCCATGTCTCTTACCTCAAATAGCTCTAAGTTGGGCTCCTAGGCTTAAGCGAGCACTCTATATCCCAAACCCCGAATCCCCCCACTACACCAAGGAAGACACATTTAGCACAGCAATTTTAATTAATTTCAGAATGTCATATACTAATGAGAAGTACAGCTTCATTAATACGCATGCTTAGCATTTACTTTAGAATGGAAAAATTAACCATTTTATGTTTTAACTTTAAAATGTTTCATAGGAATATATTAATAAATACTTCTTTAAAAATTCGCCTTTTCTACATATTTAACTACCATGAGTCAGGACTTCTGGATGGAGTCTAGTACCAACTGAGCACTAACCGGCCATGGGTATATATTCTTCTCTTTATATATGTAGGTTTCTCCTCTAACAAAGAATTAGATTATAGCAAAGATATAACAGCTTGAAAAATGTATGATTCTGTAATAAGAAGAGACCTTATAGGAATCATTCCACCTAAAGAGAAAGATGTTACAGAGAGGTAGGCTACACCATCCGTAAGGAATAAAGCAAGTAGTAAAAAAAAAAAGTAAGCATCATTATCTATATTTCATTCTTTTAAAAAGTAACGCATGCACTGACTTCATCCTCTGTATGAGGCTTTGGATACGAGCCGGGAACGGCAGAGGGAAAAACCTTCATTCCAAATGGACTCTCCAGACGGAGGGGACACAGACAAAGCCTTCTGCTTTCAGAGTGAGAGGGGACCGATGGCTACCACAGGTGAGCAGATGGTCTATTGTTTTAGGATCTCGTAAATCGGTCCAGTATAAAAATTAACCATTATCTTCTTAATCCAACTCCCTTTTCTACACAAGTTTCTTAAAGCAGCCCACAAATGGCTTGCTTTAGAACCACCTGGAAAGCTTCTTAGAAATATAGATTCCTGGTCTCCGCCCAAATAAACCAAATCCAAATTTCTAAGATTCCATTTCTTTTAGTTAAGTGTTCCAGGTTAATTTTAGATTTTGAGACCCACAGGCTTAACAATGCATAGGCAACGATACCTGCCAATGGTTGATCAAGTGCACCCATTTATTAAGCCTACAAAAACCCCATGTGATATTTAACCTAGTGCTTTTTGGCTCTCATCAAAACTGCTACTTTTATATACTCCTGCCTTTTAAGTTGTAACCTGTGGACAGGGGGCCAATAGTTTTAGTGATATTTCTACTGATTGCTTGAATTGACTAGAATGTTTTTCACATCAATTTAAAACAAATTTAGTCAAGCTCTCTTTCTGCAAGTGACTTCAGTCAGGTATTTTTCCCTCTATAGAAGGAGACTGGATTTAAGTGGGAATTATAACAGAAGCATTCCTTGTGACAGAAGGAAAGGAGAAGGCAAGATGCAAAGGAAAACCTGTAATTCAAGAATGCATGAGGTTTGTAAAGGTTGGTTTTGGTAAAATAAGAGATACTATTTTGAAGAAATAGCCTTAATGGGTAAGAGGTTTCAAATGGATAACTGTCTAAAAGCCACTGTCCATACCGTTTCTACATTTATATAAGGATAGATCCTTAGATGCCAACTAGCTCACAAACAAAACCACTTTCAACCATTAGATATATACTTAAGTCTGGTGGGAAAATACTTTCTTGGGGAAGAGAAGTTACCCAAATGAATTTAATTTAACATTGAAAAAAATATAAACAAGTCTTCGCATGGGAAAATATCATAAACAAAAAAGTCAATACATATACAGACAAAAGGGGAAATTGTGACACCTATTATACAGTATAAATACACAAACAGCAAAACCTTTCCCTTCCCGTGGACAGAACCACCAGGTCACCCTGCCTTCTGGACTCCCCCCACTTCCCACCTGGCCCTCACTGATCAAGCTGCCTCTGATGCACAGTTACCACTCTCACTAATGGAGGCTATGCTCTCTATCAGAGAAATCTCCTCTGTGTAGTGGTGAGAGAGAGAGTGGGAAAAAAAACAAAACACACCAATTTCCTTGGAGCGTTGTTTGAAAAAACTAGTAGCAACTTGCCAAACACTGAAGTTTGTGATAAACAGGGTCAAACTCAGGTGCCTTTTCCACTACTGGCTCCAATGTAACCCATCTGCACCCAGGACTCCAGGGGACAGATTCCAGTCAGTACCTGCAAGCCTGTGAGCTTTACAGCCAGCCAACCCAGAAATGTCATGGCCATTCAACAAACTGCTCTGGGCTTTGAACACTGAAAAAGAGACATGGCTTGTTGGGGATCAGTTTATGGTAAAGAGATTATTCTAGAAACCTTTTTATTTTAAGCTCACAATATCTAAATTATGCTCAAATAATTAAAAGAGGATCAAGACAGTTTAAATTTGTAAGGTTTCTAAACTAAAAGAAAATAACAAAAAATTAGAATTTAGAATTATAAAAGCAACACTTAAGGAACTTTCCCTCTCCTGAATAACATTATAGTCCATAAATATAAAAAGAGTAATTTTTAAATTCTAGTTTCCTTGACATTCTAGGAGTTTAAATTTTACTTTCCGGACTTTTTCATGAGGACTTTGGGTCAGATTATATTTCTCAGTCCTTGAGCAGACCTTCCTCACCTTCTCCTTTCCCTGTCATTCTCCACACCCTGGTCTCCCCGACCCTACTGAGGTTCCTTTTCATCTCTCTAAAACCCTGGAACATTTTAGTAAGGAAATACCCAATGGAAACTGGCACCACTACATTTTCTGAAGAATACAAGTAAATGTGTACTTTTTCCTTTTCCTAAAGGAAAATAAATCACCAGTAAATATTTAAGCTCTAATCATTTGATTAAAAATGTTTTGCCTATAATTATCAATATTATAAGACTAATTAATTAAATACATGCTACATATAGGAAAAGGAAAAACTCACTCTGCCATTTCATCAAAGAGAACTATTTATACTAGGTACAGTTAAAATTGGCTAAAAACCGGTAAGAACATGAATGAACAAAATATGTGTCTTTAGGAGGCCACTGTTTTCCTTGAAAAATCATCACTGACTGGTTAAGTCATAGGTTTAATAGTGATTAGTTCATAACATGCTGGATACACCCCAAGCAATGAAGCTTAAGCTATTCAATTACATTTAAGTGCTATCAAATCTGTAACTAGTCAGAGATTCTGGAATTGAACCAACCAATCACTAATATCATCATATTTTACAAACTCAGAAGTTTACTGTAAAAATACACTAATTAAGTCCATGAGGTTTATAATGCTATTAAAAGTGGGAGGAGGGGGAAGGAAAGGGTAATATGGATATATAGTGCTAATGTCTTATTTCTTTCAGTTATTCTCTAGGTATTGCTGGGTCCCTTAGAAATATGTGTCATTCAATTTTCTGTGTGTATGGTCAAAAGTATCCGATTATCATCTATGAATTGTAGGTGCCTGCATGGCACCAAATATACGTTTAGAAGTAAATGTTATGTGGCAGATATCAAAATGTGATGATTAATTCTATACTTTCTATTGATTAAACCCCCGCATTTGGTTAAACAGCCAGTGTATACCAGAATTCTACACAGGTCAAAATTATATCACTTTCAGAGCAGCAATGCGTGATCCAAGGTTTTCTTGAAGGTAGTGCAAAAGATGCAGTTCATAATGTTCTCCAGATTCAGGAACTCTTATGCTGTGTCTTTCCTGAGGATAGATCTTAACAACAACAAAAAATAAGAACTTAATAATACATCTCCTTCCAAAGATTTCGACAGGATTAATAATATAAGCATACCCTCTCCAATATATTACACACATATATCCTATCAATAGGCACCTCTCCTCTTTTTACATTATTTTTTCAATTACAGTTTAAATTCAGTGTTCTTTTATATTCGTTTCAGATGTACAGCGCAGTGGCTAGATGATCATATACTTTACGAAGTGGTCCCCCGACCCCTGTATTTCAAGAACCCACCTGGCACATTACATGGTTATTGCAATGTTACTGACTCTATTCCCCAGGCTGTACTTTATATCCCTATGATTACTGTGTGACTGCCAATTTGTACCTCACAATCCCATCACCTTTTCCCCCAGCCACCCAACCTAACCCCCTCTGGCAACCATAAGTCTGATCTCTATCTCTGAGTGTGCTTCTATTTTGCTCTTTAGAGTCCATATATAAGTGAAATCATTTGGTATTTTGTCTTTATATGTCTGACTTATTTCATTTAGCATAATACTCTCTAGGTCCATCCACGCTGTTGCAAATGATAAGATTTCATTCCTTTTTATGACCAAGTAATATTCCATTATATATATATATATATATATATATATATATATATATATATATATATATATGTATGTATCACAGCTTTTTTATCCACTTGTCTATTATGAGCATCTAGGTTGCTTTCATAGCTTAGCTATTGTAAATAACACTGCAATGAACATAGGGGTGCATATATTCTTCTGAATTAATGTTTTGGGTTTCTTCAAACACATACCCATAAGTGAGGTAAAGACAGTCTATACAATAAATGGTGTTGGGAAATTGGACAGACACATGCAATAAACAAACAAACAAACAAACAAACAAATGGCACCACCTTCTTACAGCATATATAAGAATAAACTTAAAATGCAGTAAAGGCTTAAATGTAAGACCCTCGCTTCTTTTGTAATTCCCTATATATCACTAAGCTTACAGAATTTCTGTGCAGACCAATGGTTCTTCAAGTGTGGTCTGCAGACTTCTTGGGTCCTCAGACAGACTTTCAAGAGACACACAAACTACTTTCAGAATAATTCTGAAATATTATTCGCCTTTATTTCCTGGGTGGGCATTTGTATTAGTAATGAAAAGCAATGGTAACAGTGCTGGTGCCTTAGTATGAACCAAGGCAATGACATTAAATTGTATTAAAAGCCATTGTATTTTTCACCATCACATAATTGCAGTGAAAAGAAAAAAATGCCAATTTCATGTAAGTCTCAAAAAGAAATTAGGATTAAATTTTCTTAAATTGCAACTCTTGAGATTTTAAAAAAATATTCTGTGGTGATGAAATGGAAAGAACACATAAATTACTTCTGCTATCAAATGTCTCAAGAAAAACAATGTGTGCAACTGAGTTCCAAGCTGAACTGCCACTTTCTAAATGAAACTTTATTTTTAAATGAAAGAATGGCTGACAATTATGATAATTCAGAAAAGGCAAACATTTTCTAAAAATGAATGAAGTGTGCGCTGTAACCGATTTGGTTCAGTGGATAGAGCGTCGGCCTGAGGACTGAAGGGTCCTAGGTTCGATACCGGTCAAGGGCATGTACTTTGCTTGCGGGTACGTCCCCAGTGGGGGGTGTGCACAAGGCAGCTGATTGATGTTTCTCATTAATATTTCTGGCTCTCTATCCCTCTCCCTTCCTCTCTGTAAAAAATCAACACACTGACAGTATTTGTTGCTGATGATAAATTTGTTGTTGGTAGTGCACATATTCCTTTTTTGCCTTTTTTTTTCTTTTTTAATATTTTTATTGATTTCAGAGAGAGGAAGGGAAATAGAAATACTGATAGAGAAACACACCTATCAGCTGTCTCCTGCACACCCACCCTTCGCCCCTCCCATGAAGATTGGCCACAAAACCCAGGCATGTACCCTGACTGGGAATCGAACCATGACCTCTTGGTTCATAGATTGACTCTCAACTGCTGGGCCAGAGTGTGATGGGTTGAGTCCATGGGATGACACTCAACCATCTTGAGCCACACAGGCCAGGCGCCAATGATAAATTTTGAGTTTTTAAGAAAAAAAATTAAAATTTTGGAAAATTTACATCTACCACTATTAGTTCATGAACTTCCCAATATGCACTTGAGACTTTTCTGATGAGATCAGTGAAATTTTCATGAGATTTTAAAATACTATATAATTAAATGAGTCAACATTCAGAAGATTGGCATAACACAGTAAACCAATATTTTCCAGATGACCAATGCACAGTAAAAGATCCATTTGAAGTACAAGCTCTAACAGATGATAATGTAACAGAGTATGAAAAGTTTACAGATATGACTCAGATTCCACACAAAAACCTTTAAGAAACTACCATTTGTCCAAGTATTGTAGTATCAAAGAAGAATAACCACAATTATCTGAATAGGCTAATCCTCCCATTTCTTAAATACATATTCTGTAAGGCTGAATTTTCTTCATTTAATCAAAACATTTTACAACAGACTGCATTGGAAGTAACTATGAAAATACAGGTATCTTCCTTATTAAGCCAGACATTAAGGGAATTTACAAAAATGTAAAGCAATGCTACTTTCCTGAGTAAATTTGTTTTGTTTTAGAAAATAGTCTCCCCTCTCCTATAAAATTGCGATTTTTGTTAACATGTAATAGCTTTAAATAAATAAATATTTTAAATTAAAAAAAAATTAAAAGTTGATTTAGAGAAAGAGGAAGGGGGGATAAAGAGTGAGAGAAAAACATTGATCTGATGGATAGCTTCCTGTACACACCCCAACTGGGAATCAAACCCACATCCTGGGTATGTGCTCTGACCAGAAATTGAATCAGCAACCTTTTGGCGCACAGGATGACGTTCTAACCAACTGAGTCACACCAGCCGAGGCTTAACATTTTTAATAGTTCTAATATCTTATATAAGAAATACTGATAGAGCAGCCAGGCCCAGAACAGCTCGCTCCTTGCCTGCCCCTGCCCTACGGCTGCTTCTCAGACATGGCTGGAAACTTTCGTGGGAACTTGAGGGTCTGCTGAATCAAGTGATGAAGGCTTAGATCTGGATGTGTTGAGTTAGTTTAGGACTGGGGTGTTGATCTGTGAGTGCCTTGGGTGGGGCCTGGATGAGGCTGGTGGACCTATTGGGAAAAGTCTTTTGTGTGAAGTGTATCATTGGGCATGTGGAGGTATTATTGATATGAGAAAAAAAAAAAAAAAAAAAAAAAAAGAAATACTGATAGACATAAACCACATAAACAAAAGCTGATATGTAAAGGGAACCAAAATGATTGACAATTACTGCTCTACACAAATATCTAATAGTTTACCAACTGAAACAAAAAAGGAAAAAGTAATATTTTCATTTCTTATGAGCATATAATCTCTGTAAGAAACAGAATGAAAAGAGGAGGAGTTTTTCTTAAAACCTTTTTATTTGAGTAATGGAGCAATGAAGGTGCATAATAATTTTCTGGTTTCTACTCTAATATCAATATAAAATTAAATTAAAAGACCATGTAGTCCTAGCTGGTTTGGCTTAGTGAATAGAGCACTGACCTGTAGACTTAAGGGTTCTGGGTTCAATTCCAGTCAACTGCACATGCCAGGATTGTGGCTCGATCCTCAGTAGAGGGCATATAGGAGGCAGCCAATTATTGATTCTCTCTCACCATTGATGTTTCTACCTCTCCCTCCCTTTCTCTCTGAAATCAGTAAAAAAATATATATTTTTAAAGAGACACATTTAGCCCTAGCCGGTTTGGTTCAGTGGATAGAGCATGTGGACTAAAGCATCCGTGTTCGATTCCAGTCAAGGACACCCCAGGTTGTGGGCTTGATCCCCAGTAGGGGGTGTGCAGGAGGCAGCTGATCAATGATTCTCTCTCATCATTGATGTTTTTATCTCTCTCCCCCTCTCCCTTCCTCTTTGAATTCATCAATAATATATATATATAAAAAAAACACGCAATCAGGTCCTAAAACTCCTTTGCACAATAATGCAATTAACATATCCTCACCCTTCCATGGGGAAGAAGAAAATCAAAGGAAGACATTAAATGGACTCCTGCCATCTCTTCCATGATTACAAATTGGAAGTATATACAGATACACATGTCATGGAATCCAATAGGCCAGTCTTCAGCCTAACTTCAACAGAATCTTAATTTTTATCCAAGTAGGGGTACTATTAACTGGGCCTATTACTTTAGTCTCTTAAACAAAGAATGGTCACAGCTGGAAATTAGGCCTAACTCCATAATTTATTGTATTTTAAAGTAATCAACCATTAATCACTATTTATTTTAAAAATGTAGAAAAACTCACCTGTAAATCATATGGTTTTCCAGCCCTCACTAAAAAACTCAATAATATACTGGTGTGTGCAAAATGGACATTCTCATCCAAGAATCCATGTAAGAGAAGTAAACGATTTGGTCTGGAGAAATGGAAATATCAGAGGATTAGGCAAAATAGTTTGAGAAAACCACTTCACTTCTTTAATCTAATCACAATTAACTATGCTAACTTCCTTATACCGCAACTACTAGGAGCCCAGCATACGATTTGAAATTTTGCGGCGCCGCCCACCTACCTGCAGCCCTGCCTTGACACCAGAACCTGTACAGGCAGACCCAGCATGCCTGGCCCAGCCCCCAAACCCTCCGGCCTTCTCCGCCGCTTCAAGCCCCACCCTCAGTTCCTGGAGTCGCCTCAGGCTGGTCCCGCCTTCTCTAGGCGCCTCCCTGCTTCCGCCCCATCTCCATCTCCATCCCATCATGGCACCAGGCACCAGAGAGCATGGAAGCCTCCCTGTGCTCCTTCCCCTGGCAAGTGGGCCACGGGGCACTCAGAGTGCGAGCGGTGGGTGGCAAAGAACTGGTGAGGGGGGCACTATAGGCTCTCACCTCTACCCTCCCCAGCACGGGATGGTCCTGCCTCCTCCGGCGCCACCCCGCTTCCACCCCATCTCTGGAGCAACACCCAATATGCCAATGACATGGTCATTACCTGTTAACTATGTACCGACCATTATTATCATATTAGCTCTTTATTAATATAGATATTAGAACAAGGATTCAACATTTTCAACATTAATATATTTGTAAAACATTAACCAGATGCTATATGTATTAAATATTTAAACAATAAAAAGAACATTGTACAATTTCCTATTAAGATATTAGCACAGCGGGACCGGTTTGGCTCAATGGATAGAGCGTCGGCTTGAGGACTGAAGGGTCCCGGGTTTGATTCCGGTCAGGGGCATGTACCTTGGTTGTGGGCATATCCCCAGTAGGGGGTGTGCAGGAGGCAGCTGATCGATGACTCTCTCTCTTCGATGTTTCTAACTCTATCTCTCTCCCTTCCTCTGTACAAAATCAATAAAATATATATATATTTTTAAAAAGAATACTTAAAAAAAAAAAGATATTAGCACACATCCTATATAATAAAAGTCTAATATGCTCTAAGTGTCCAGTTCAACCAATCAAAGCACAATATGCTAATTATATGCTAAGACAGCTCAATTGCTCACTATGACATGCACTGACCATGAGAGGGCAGAGTACACTGTTCAACCAGTTGCTATGATATGCACTGACCACCAGAGGGCAGATGCTCTGACTAGTGGGTTAGCTTGCTGCTGGGGTCCAGCCAATCAGGACTAAGCAAGACAGGCTGGGCCAGATAAACCCTGGAGCCCTCCTGCGGTCCCTCCCCCACTGGTCAACCTCCTGCATCCCTCACCAGCCCTGATTGTGCACAGATGGGGTCCCTCGGCCTGGCCTGTGCTCTCTCGCAGGACCTCTTGAGGGATGTTGGAGAGCCAGTTTTGGCCTGATCCTGCAGGCCAGGCCAAGGGACCCCACTGGTGCACAAATTCGTGCACCGGGCGTTTAGTCAATAATAATGGCATGTCCCCAGAAAATGAAAAATTATAAACATTATTTGAAAAATGCAGAAATAAAAAATTTTCCACCTTAAATAGTAGTGCACTTAAACTTCTTTTATAGCACAAGCAAATTGCTTCAAATTAACTTGTAAAAAAACCCCACACACAAATGATAAGAAATTGCGTATTATTCAGCTTTGAGAATCACCCATGTCTTTTAGTATTCTATAAAATATTAGTCTTGGTTACAGCATCTGTAGTTTTCATTACTATTAAATACAATTTTAAATTTATAATCTTAATTTAAAAGCTTGAACTTACTCAGAGGGAAACTTTTCTGCTTGCATGGCCACAGATCCTAAGTAATAGCCCTGTTCATTCTGGTCAGGGTGACCCATGTAACGTTCTGTGTAGCCTGTATCATAGAAGATCCACAGAGTGACCGGGGCTCCAGCAATAGCAACCTGCGTAAGACAATAATGATAAGCAAGTGTGGTCCATAAAAGAATGGCTAGCAAAGAGGTTTGTAATTGCAAATTAATAGGCTAATATATCCACTACTGGAGCTACATGGTCTTAGGCCACTCAAAAAACCAAATTGGAGTGCCAAGGTGAAGAACTTGATACTTTGTGAGTCACGTTTTGTTCTATAGACACGCTGTATACCAAACCCTTAATCGAGGCTAGTGAAATATGAGCATGTTTGTTAAAAGGGTGGACTGAACCAGAACATATGAATGCCTCAGTATGAACTCGTTCCTGCCACTGGGGAAAATGTGCTATCAGTGTCAGCTTTATTCAGAAAAAACAATCTTTTTTTTATTGGTTGGAGAGGGATAGAGAGTTACAAACATCAATCAGTTGCCTCTTGTACATCTTCCACTGGGGATGTGCCCGCAAAAAAGGTACATGCCCCTGACCAGAATCAAACCTGGGACCATGAGTGGGCTGATGCTCTAATCATATAGCAACATCAGCCAGGGCCATTTTTATTCTTAAAAATGAAAATTATTTTTCACTATTAAATAAAATCATGTTATTGAAATACAGGATTGAGAAAAGTAGGTTTATACTTATGAATACATAAAACAGTTTATTCTTATATGATTAATTATTATTTTATTTTTCATATGAATAACTGTAAACTTAGTTTTTGCCCTATCCTATATAAAAACCCCCAGCACTCATAATTCCCACTCCCTTAACAACTGTTAGCATCTTTTTTCTTAAAATATATTGTTATTGATTTCAGAGGTGAAGGGAAAAAGAGAGAAACAAACATCAATGATGAGAATCATCAATCAGCTGCCTCCTACACGCCCCACACTGGGAATCGAGTGCGTAACCTGGACATGTGCCCTTCACCAGAATTGAACCCGGGACCCTTCAGTCTGCAGGATGACACTCTAGCTACTGAGCCAAACTAGCTAGGGCAATAAGTGGTTTTTTAAAAAGTAGATAACATGTAAATATACAGCTTATATGGATACACAGGTTGACAAATATTTCTATTATCTCACATTATATTAAAACACAAAAACCGCTCTGGCCAGTTTTCTTAGTGGTTACAGCATCAGCCTGAGGAATAAAGAGTCAAGGGTTCAATGTCTGGTCAAGTTCATGTACTTTGGTTGCAGGTTCCCTAGTCCCAGTAGCGTATGTGACCTGACGTCCACTTTTGGCGCGACAGTTCCAATTTTTAACAATTTGTCCCGCGTCCCGCAGCGTTTTAAATAGTCCCGATTTTTGGAAAGATTCTTTTAAATCTTTTGAATATTTTTAAAATGTCGTGGGACCTGGGACAAATTCTTAAAAATCGGAACTGTCCCGCCAAAAGCGGGATGTCTGGTCACATTACAGTAGTGGCATGTGGGAGAGGCAACCAATCAATGTGTCTCTCTCATGTCCATGTTTTTTCTCTCTCTCCCCCTCCTTCTTCCCTTCCACTCTTTCCAGAAATCAATGGGGGTAAAAAATCCTTAGGTAAGGATTAAAAAGCAAAACAAATAAATAAAAACAAAAACAAAACACAGAAACACTAACATTCCATAATAATGCCAACCCTGTAAAACTTCAGAAAAATCCTCATTTTTCAATTTACCGAAAATCCTATCCTTACTACCCAACACATGCAGAGGAAGTCACATACCCTGAAGATATCTGATCTCTGGATTAATGCCATCAGGGAGAGGTATCCTCCATAGGACCAGCCATGGATGCCAACACGATCTAAATCAATGAAATCGTATCGAGAAGCTAGATACTGGAGTCCTTCCACCTGGTCATCAATTTCTATTTGTCCCTGTCAAAAAAGAGACCATTTCACTGATTAATGAGTAAAAGTCTTATTATAAGAGTGCTTTGAAGCTAAAAAAAAAATGTTATTAAAAATACCTGTAATTTAAGATTAGAATTTATTGCCAAAAAAACTTTTTTAAAACCTGTATTTAGAGATAGGAGCCTATAGTTGCTATTGCTAGTCTGTTCTAGAGTTTATTTATCCCTGAGTCATAAATTTCTTTCCTACTGCAACCCAAACTGTCCCTTACCATGTGGGTATTTCCCATTCTATTTGTTCTGTTGTCTGCTAAGAGTCAGCATCTTCCTTGCAACAAGCCTTCCCATACCCAAAGACAAAAAATTAGCCGCCTTAAGAGGTTGACTAATTTCACTTCTCCTTTAAAATGTAATGCAGTAGAGTCGAAGGAATCACTTGAGGCCTTATCCTCCTATTTCCCCACAGTATACCTCTAAGAACTGAACATACCATTTCTTTAAAGTCCTATGAAGTCTTAATTCCTACCAATACCACCCTGTCCGTATTACTAGGCCTGCCAGTGCACACAATCTCACTTCACTGAGCAAAAAACAAAAATAAAAACAAAAAACTTACATGAGAATACAACATAAGGTCAAAGAACTGGCTGTGGGAGAATATCCCCATGTCTTACTCAGCATGTCCAATACACTGGCAAACACAGTAATTGCCTTACTGTGCAAAAGGAACATCGGATTCTCATCATTTCCCAAAGCAGCAGAAAGGACATGGGGCATCTCTAAAAGGTAGCATTTAAAGCTTCCTGTAGAGAGAAAGAGGCTTGTCACAAGGAAGGCACTAACCAGTTGGTTTCTCTCTTCACAGAGGACAGAACAAATCTCAATTATTCCTCTCAATAGTGTACAGGATGCTGAAAGCTAAACGGTGCTGCCTTCTGGCTAAGCTGGACATACAAAAAAGAAGGAAAGGCTACTTCTCTGAAAAGGTGGTTCTATCTCAGCTCCCCAAAATCATATACAAGTACACACGAGCCAGCCTAGTCAATATCAAGATGCATCTTCCCTCCCACCCCCAAACTCTAACACACGCTCTCTCATTCACTCACAGCCCCTATCCCGACTCTCTCTCTGGGATTTCACACCAAACAATGCACCAGAAAATGTGTCTTTGAAAGAAAAATGTTTGTATGTTCACACACCATTTTATATTTAAAGGCGCCTTCAAATTTAAGCCCTCGGTGACAGGATCCCCTGTTGTCTATCACAACAACCACATAACCCAGGGAGGCTAGAGTATTCAGACGGAAATACTTGACTCCTTTAAACCGATTATTCACCAACTGCACCTGAGGAAGAAATACAACTTCAGTGAAACTTCTTATCTGGTAGCATTCAAAAACATAATAGAAGTAGGACACTATGAAAAGTAGAAAGCTTAAATTTCTAACATTATTTTGCCTTTAAAATAAATGTAGTATCATTAATAATACGACAATGTTGTACAGAAGATCTCTAGAACTTATTCATCTGGCTTGACTGAGACTTTATGCCCACTGATTAGAACTCTTTCCCCCCTCCATTTATTTTTAAATTAACTTAAATCTTGTCATGTTTATGTTGCCTTTTTTTATATATGTTTATTTTTATTGATTTCAGAGAGGAAGGGAGAAGGACAGAGAGATAGAAACATCAATGATGAGAGAGAATCATTGATTGGCTGCCTCCCGCACAAACCACACTGGGGATCAACCTCGCAACCTGGGTTTGTGCCTTGACCTGGAATCGAACTGTGACCTCCTGGTTCATGGGTCTATGCTCAACCATTGAGCCACACCAGTCAGGCTCTTTTTTCTTTTCTTTTTCTTCTACATGGGATGGTTGATCTTGAGCCTGCAGGAAGCAAACTGGTCCCAGATTTCTCCAAGTCCACATTTCTTTGCTTTCAAATCTTATGTGTCCAAAGACAAAGAAACACTGACATGGGTTTAAGTAGGAGGATATTTCTTTTCTATCTTAACTTCACTCTAAATCAGGGCAATTACTAAGCAACTAATGGTTTTAAAACTATAACCTAAATATTAATTACATATAAGACAAGAGATTTAACCTACCTGATAGACAAAGTTACTAAAATGATTACTTCTACCCTGAAGAACTGTGTCAAATGGTAGAAAGGAGGATAGGAGGATGAATAGATTATTTTTTCTCTCTACAAATCTCTTCTGGGATTGTCTTTGACCAGTAGTAGGGAAACTTAGTATTTGAATAAAATACTGTGAATAAAATACTACCTTCTTTTTCCCTATTACAAAAATCAGTGCAAAAGGAAGAATAGTTCTTAAATACCTTTATTGCCCAAAAACTATACTTAAAAATGACTGGGAAATTAAATGTAGCTTAAGTATTTCACTAGAAATAAACTAATGAAAAGAAGACTTTAATTAATGTGGGAAGAAAGTTACATAAGTTCAAGGTTCGGTGGACACTAGATAGATATTAAACAACAAAGTTCTGGCAAATGAGAAAGAAGCTGTCTCTGGCTGATACCAAAAGATAACCAACTCAGTCAGGAGTTAAACAAGAACCAACATTGGCCCTGACTGAGTGTTGTCCCCATATGCCAAGGTTGCAGTTTTGATCCCTGGTCAGCGGTCCTACAAGAATCAAACAATGAAAGCATAAACAAGTGGAACAACAAATTGATGCTTCTCTCCTTCTAAAAAAATCAATTAAAATAAATAAGAATCGAGGAGAAATCAACATGGTGGCATAGGTAAACATATGAATTTGCCGCCTCACACAACCACTTCAAAACTACAACTAACAGACAAAACAGACATCATCCAGAACCACAGGAAGGCTGGCTGAGTGGAATTCTACAACTAGAAGGAAAGAGAAAAGCACACTGAGACTCAGAGGAGCTGCGGAAGTAAAGTGCAGAGGTACAGAGGCGTGCACAGGGAAAGCCATGGTAACCTGAGGAATTTCTGCTCTTCATTCTAAGCTTTCTAAAAATAGCTGTTAAAACTCTTTTTATTTACCAAGAAATTTAATTAATTTCATTTCCCAAAATTTCTTTAGATAGAAAACATATTTTCCTACTGAAATGAATATTTTATTTTTCATAATAGTTACAGTTCTTATTGTAAATTAAGAAGTTGACAATGATTTACAAATTAGCCAGCTTCCTAAACTCCTAAACTGGGTAATTAGATCATAAACCAGAGTCATTAATAGCAGAGGCCCCAAAATGCTCAAATCTTAACTTAAATAATTGATTTCTAAAACTTAATTACTAATATGAGGTTATCTGTTAGTGTTAAAAATCTAGATAACCAGATAGTTTTTATACTGTGTTTTTCACATATTTCACATATCACTTCTTCACTGGAAAGGAAAAACTTAGCTTTAACATCAAAATAATATAACAAAATATATATAAAGCTTCTTAGGGTGTTCTATAATTTCTCTTTTGAGCTTCTTTGTATTAAACCTTTTTTTAAAGTTTATAAAGATTTGCCTTTAAGTTTTTTAAATTAAATAGAAGTTTAATTTAACATTTTCATGATTAATGTGTAGATAGCTATAATACAAATGTGAATATGTTTGTATGTAAAACACACTTAACAATTATATATATATGTAATAAAATATACCCACCTGAGGACCACCATATATAAACAGCACAGTGGGGTATTTCTTTCCAGGTTGTAAATCATGAGGTTTGTAAAGCATTCCATACAATGTAAATCCAGTAGTACTTTCAAAAGAGAAAATTTCTGGAGGGGTATAGTCAGGAAGAGGACCTGCAAGGAAATAACATACCGAGCCTATAAGAGTAGTTGTTATAGAAGCTCTACAATATGATAGCAAGTTAAAAATAACCCCCCCACACACACACAAATAACTGACCATCCCCCTTCCAGGTGATAAGCAAATTATTATCTTTACAAAAGAAAACATAATGAACATTTCAAACTATTTCAGAAATAAACACACAGTATTCTGAATAATCCTTGGAACATAAGAGGTAATTATATGCAGAACTATACAAATATTTTGTGCTCAGTTTGATGTAACTTGTTGATGGTTAATACATATATCTAGTTAGAAACTGGAAGCACAAATTTAACTTAGTCATTATAACTTGCTCAAGGCAGGTGCTCAATAAAGATTTGTTTCTGGTAATTACAGAATAAGCCTAACCAGAAGCCAGAAAAAATGTCATGATTATCAGTCTTTGGTTTACAGACCTATTCTAAGTCTGTGTGTGTATTGGATGACGTTACAATTTAAGCAGAATCATCACTATATTAAAAATTCTATTGTGCACATTAGAACATACTTACATTCTGTGATTATACTAATTCTTAATCCCTTAGCAAATATTAATGCATGAAAATATTTAATTGGATTTAAAGATAAAATTAGTACATTTTTTTAAGAAAACATTTAAAAAATAATAATTAACCATGCTCAGATCCAAGATGGCTGCGCCTAGGTAAACACCTATCCGCAGCCACACACAACAATTTCAATAAAATACAACTAAAATATAAAATGGACATTACCCAGAACTACAGGAAAGTCGACTGACTGGAAATTCTACAACGAGAAGCAAGGAGAAAACCAGAAGGAAGTGTGGAGGAGCTGGAAAAGCCCAAGGTACGGAGACACAGGGCGCGCGGAGAGGACGGAGCCGGAGAGGAGGGAGGCCGAGTGCATGGCTGGCCGTTCCCTAGCAGGAAGGAGATAAAACTCCAACTGTGTTGAGCCCCAGTTCTGACTGCTCTGAACCCCAGTCCTAGGCCAGACCCCGGGGACCCAGGCTCAGCCAGAGGGAGCTGGGCTGCAAGGCGGAACCCCGGGGAAGCGGCGAAAGGAGGTCCCCGCGGCGCTCACATTGCGCACAGAGAAGGAACGGCTGGCTGTGCCGCAGAATTGCCCTGGCAGGAAGGAGACAGGGGCTCCAGACTGCTCTGAACGCCACCTCCAACTCCACTTCCAACTGAACTGAACCCCAATACCGGGCTCATTGGGGGAGAGCATAGACCGTTTGGCAGCAGGCGAAAATCGAGGGCACCTTTCTCTCAGAGGTGCTTTGCAGCGAGTACTGAAGGACTCGCATAGGGCGGGGCTGACGGAAGCCAAGGCTGTAGGCTCCACCCTAAAATCCCGTCCCATCTGTAACTACGAAATGCGACAATGAAATAGATCACAAACGAAAGAAATGGAGGACAAAAAGCGACTGGATATAGAGTTCAAATCTATGCTTATAAGGTTTTTCAAGAATTTCCTAGAAAAGATGGATAAGACCTATGAGGATATGAAAAGAGATCAACTAGAATTAATAAGGAGTCAACAAGAAATGATAAGGGATCAACAAGAAATGATAAGGGATCAACAAGAAATAAAGAATACATTGTCTGAAATAAAAAATATTATACAGAGTCCTAAAAACAGAATGGAAGATCGCAAGAATCAAGTCAAAGATTGGGAACATAAAGAGCCAGAAGACACTCCTCCACCGAAGTTAGAAGGCAAGAGAATCCAGAAAATTGAAGATAATGTAAGAAACCTCTGGGACAACTTCAAGCGAACCAACATCAGAATTATGGGGGTCCCAGAAGATGAGAGAGAGCAAGATATCGAAAACATACTGAAAGAAATAGTGATAGAAAACTTCTCCCACCTGGTGAAAGAATTAGACTTACAAGTCCAGGAAGTGCACAGAACTCCAAACAAAAGGAATCCAAAGAGGACCACACCAAGACAAATCATAATTAAAATTCCAAGAGCAAAAGACAAAGAGAGAATATTAAAAGCAGCAAGAGCAAAGGTAGTTACCTATAAAGGAGCACCTATATGATTGTCAGCTGACTTCTCAACAGAAACCATGCAGGCCAGACGGGAATGGCAAGAAATATTCAAGGTGATGAATAGTGAGAACCTACAGCCAAAGATAATCTATCCAGCAAAGCTATCACTCAGAATCGAAGGTCAGATAAAGAGCTTCACTAATAAAAAAAAAGCTAAAGGAGTTCATCAACACCAAACCAGAATTATATGAATTGCTGAAGGGGGTTCTTTCGGAAGAGAAAGTAAATAAAGATAAAAATTATGAACAACAAATACATAACTATCAACAAGTGAATCTAAAAACCAAGGAAATTAAAAAAAATCTGATGAACAATATTAACTGTTGAATATAATAGAATCAGAGGTATGGAAAGGGAGTGAACTGACGATTCTTGGGGAAAAGGGGAGAGGGGGATGTGGGAAGAGACTGAACATAAACTGTGCACCTATGGATGAGGACAATGGGGAGTGGGGAAAGGGCAGAGGGTGGGGTGGGAACCTGGTGGAGGAGAGCAATGGGGGGGGGAGGGAAGGAACATTTGTAATAATATGAACAATAAAAACTTATTAAAAAAAAATTAACCATGCTCTTGATTTCCATACAGAAAAGAAGTTCTTTTATGGCCATTCCAATTGCTTTAAAAGTTTAAGAAAGTTACCGGCTGGTTATTCCCTAAAACTATAGCTTCCCTGCTCAAAGAGTATTACTAGGTCAGGGTACCATTATCTTCAAGCTCATTTGTTTATCTAGAAAATTATCCAAATGTGTAAATAAATGGTTTCCCAGCTGATATATTGACTACTTTAATCCTATTTTCAAAAAGGCCTTCCAGCCCTAGCTGGATTAGATCAGTGGATAGATCATCGGGTCTCAAGTTCGATTTTGGTCAAGGATATATGCCTGGGTTTTGGCTCAATCAGTGGGGTGTGTGCAGAAGGCAGCCGATCAATGATTCTCTCTCATCATTGATGTTTCTCTCTTTTTCCCTTCCTCTCTGAAATCAATAAAATAAAATAAAATAAATAAAAAAAAGGCCTTTCAGACCTATTCCTGTCTCGAGTGGGAGGTAGGCTATATTACTTGGTAGTTATCAGAATAGGAGGGGTAGAATCAATCAGAAACCCAATAGCTCGGGAAGAGGTGGTAGTGAGAGATGGGAAGACTGTGTCCAGGAAATGTGGACATATCACAGGTTTTGGATTGCCTATAATAATTAATGTGCTAATCCTACTTAAGATCAGGTTTAGGGTAATGAGTACCTGCTGAATCCAAAATGGTGGCCCAAAATTCCTTTGTTTTGCAAGTTGGGTCATCTTCAGGACTTGACAGCTTGTAAAGGGACACAGAGTGTGGATTCTTCTGGTTACTGTACTTACTTATAAAGAAGTCACAATTCTAGAGAAAGAAGAAACAGTTACGTTTCCCCCAGGGAACAGTAACAGAGGTTATCTGCTACTACATCTGTTCTGATGCCACAGGAGGAGTGTGAGTCTGAGCATTTATGTACATACACAAAGCTGAAGTTAATGTTAAGCTTTCCAAAGTTTTTCCCAAGAAATCAGACTTCTGCAGGCCAATGTGACCAATTTGCATATTATGCAAAAGGAGTAATATATGAATAGAGATTTTTTTTCTATGACAGGAAACCCTTTTCAAACAGAGATTAATACCCGGCTGATGCAGCAAGAGTGGGAATAGCCACGGTCGGTCAGCCTTGTAACTTCTCCAGGATTTACATAACTGACCACGTACAGGTGATGTTCTAAAGGAGAATCTTTGGTGCCTTCAAAATAGACCAGCTTTCTAACTTCATCAACCTGGATCTGTCAAAATAACAACATAAAAATCAGAGCTAGCATGACCTTGGCAAGGTCAGTAATTCAATCGACAGTCCCCAATTTTACTCAGAATCATGTGAGTCATCCTTTGACTTGTGCCTCTTTAAAAAAATTTTCCACAAGTATTCCTGTAGCGTTTGTTTATGATTTACAGCTAAGAACAGATCCTGTCCAGAAGAAAAAAGGACACCAGAGTTGCACACTATTGGTAGAGTTTCCTATATGGTCAGAATGTGTGCTTTTCTTAAAATACAAGAATTATTCCATTAAAATGACAACCCTCTATAGAAAAAATAATAGCTATATTGCAGCTTAGGCCAACCATTCTTGCACACTTAACACAGTGTAATTTCAGCATGCTATATATTTCTTAGTGCAGTATTATCTGAGACAGTACTTTTGGTCTTTTGTACAAATCTTCAAAAATGTTTCAGTTATTGAGTTGGGGAATAATTAAACACAACCATAGTTTCAATATTGGTATAGTTTATAAATAAGTATGTTAAGATCTCTTAAATCTTCATTCAGAACGCAAAAAAAGTTTACATTAGTGTAATTTTTTATTATAAAAACAGAATTCCACAGTAATTTTTTTTTCAGTTGACAACGTCCAAGGTCCCTAAACAGAAAAAATTATATTTGAACATATAATCAGAAGGCCACGTGAGACTCTTAGTGATATAATTAGACTTCAAAGATTGCATATAATATTCTACAATTTTTACCAACAAAAACAGCCGAAGCCACTTTGGCTCAGTGGTAGAGCGTAGGTCTGGGGACTGAAAGGTCCTGGGTTTGATTCCGGTCAGGGGCATGTACATTGGTTGCGGGCACATCCCCGGTAGGGGGTGTGCAAGAGGCAGCTGGTCGATGTTTCTCTCTCATCGACGTTTCTAGCTCTCTCTCTCTCTCCCTTCCTCTCTGTAAAAAAATCAATAAAAAATATATTTAAAAAAAAAAAAAAGAAAAAATTATATTTGAACCAGAAGGCCATGTGAGACTCTCGGTGATAATTAGACTTTAAAGATTGCATATAATATTCTACAATTTTTACCAACAAAAACAGCCAAAACTGGTTTGGCTCATGGATAGAGCGTCGACCTGTGGACTGAAAGGTCCCAGGTTCGATTCCGATCAAGGGCATGTACCTTGGTTGTGGGCACATCCCCAATAGGGGGTGTGTAAGAGGCAGCTGATCGGTGATTCTCATCGATGTTTCTAACTCTATCCCTCTCTCTTCCTCTCTGTAAAAAAAACAATAAAATATATTTTAAAAAAAAAAAAAAAAGCCTGGGACCTGGATATTCATTCTATCTCAATCACCTGGGTACTATGAGTGACTTCTCTTAGTAGCTAATAAACACAACCCTTCAATAAATCTTAAAATCAATTTGAGGAAAACTAGGCCTTCACTAAATCCTGGTAGTATACATCAATTTAACTGTATGTATCACACATATAAAAGGATGGAGTTTTTAGAGGTTTCATAAAACTGACCACCTAACTGAAAGTTGAAACAAATATAAGGTACTATAAAAGGCAAAAGAAAAATTAGAATTCACTAAATAACCACAGAAAGTTACATGCTGAGAGTGAAACAGGGGGTGAATTTCCCTCATTTTCCCTATCCATCTATTCTCTGTAGAAATTTCTATCACTCATTGCAGATGGATGAAATCCATGCAAATAAATAATAAAATAAATAGATGAATGAAAGAGAATCACTACCTCAGGAGCAGTAAATGTCATTTCTAATGTAGAAATGAATGAATAGTTTGTTAAGACCTATAAAAGTAATTTTCAAACTGTATCTTAATTTATAATTTTTGCTAAGCTTGAGAAGTATGGATTAGCCTTTCCTTTATTAAATAGCAACACAATATTTGAAAATGGTGACCTGTAATAACCAGTACATATCTAATACAGGGCTATAAAATGGGTGAGATTTATAATTTAAGACTCAAAGCACTGGGGTCATATGAAGTTGCACTACATACACATAGCAGATGTGGACCAAACATATCAGCAGATTAAAAGAACATACATTAGATCCATGCCGGCCAAGAACTTCCCATTCACCACTGGTAATTGCTATTTCCTCTTTGATAGGACACTTGAAATCACCTAAAAATAACATAGTTGTAATTCAGCACTTTATACCAGACTACATAAGCAAATGAAACAATAAAGAATAGTATTCTAAACACTTTTTTCCAAAAAGTACATTAAAAATGTCAAGTTATATCTGGGATAATTTAAATGTTTTAGAACTAGTTAGAGGTAGTGGTTGCACAACACTGTGAATATACTAAATGCCACTGTTCATTTTAAAATGTTTAGTTTAATGTTAGGTGAAGTTTGCAAAAAAAGGTCAACCGTTTAAAAAAATTCACATTATATGTCTTCATAGTACTGTGGAATAATGATGGAATGATCTGTGCAAATAAGTGAAAAAGCAAAATTGATTCTCATGGCAAAGCCAGAAAAGAACTCAAAAACACCTGCATTCACAATGGAGTCTAATGGGTCAGCAAGGCATTTCTTCCAGAAATACAACAAACTACTTCAGGAGGAAATTTTTAATATAATTGTTCTTCACTTGCTAAAAATATATTGATATTACCATATTAAATGCCAACATGCCCTATTTGTCTTTATGAGATTTTGTCTTGGCTCTCTCAGTGGATTAAGGAGATTAAAAAATGGAAACTATTTCTCTTTGCCTAGCTGCTGCTAACTATGGCTATGGAAGTGACAGCTGAGGGCATAAGATAATTAGAGAGTACAGGCTTTTAGCTAGTCCCTCTCTAATTAAAAAGTTTTTTGACTTATTTTCTTTTTTTTAGATATAAAAATTCAACCTAGTACTTTAAATTTGATGACCAGAAAATAAACATTATTTAACATATATATAACAAGTACTAATTGTTTCACATTATAGCCACTTAAAGAAGAAAAAGGAAAGGAGGAAGAAAATAAAGTGGACATCATGGAAAAGGAGGAAGATTTGGAACAAGAAAGACTAAGGAAAAAAGGAGGAAAAGGGAAAGATGAGGTAGACAAATTGAGAAGCTCAGAAATAGGCACTGAGAGGGAACAGGAGCTTGGTGTTCTGAGATGAATATTAGCTGAGATAACAAATCTTTTGTTTTTTCCCATAGAATTTTAGAAAGAGTGAAAGGGATGGAATGGGGAAGGAGAGAGAGGGGGGCGGGGCGGGGGAGAGGGAGAGTGAGAGTGAGAGAGAGAAACGTTGATGTGAGAGACACACTGATGGGTTGCCTCCCAGGGAATCAAATCTGTAACCCAAGTTCCTGCCCTTGACCAGGAATCAAACCTGAGACATTTGGTGTGCAGGCTGACTCTCTTACCCGACCTCACTGGCCAGAGCAACAGCTCCTCTTCTTAAATTATCATTTTCATATTATTGTCCCCAAAATATTTTAGTTAATTAACTACTATTCACAGTTCTCTGACCCGTCTTTATCACTAAATTTTCTGGAATTCCATAAGTGGATTTAATTTCTGAACAATAAAGGAATTGGTAGCACAATTTCACACTAAGGCACACATTAAACTAAGGCTCTTAGGAAAGAAACTCTCTGTCTTAGATATATAAGATCTTGTCTTTTTTTTTTTTTTTTAATTATGCTAAGGAAAGGAATGGAATCATAGGTAATATTTGCTTTGCTAGTCCTAAGATGTAGCTGTTTCCCAAATAAAAATATTTAAAAGGCCATGTTAAAAAAACAAACAAAAAACAAGCAACTCAAATAAAAACTCTGCAAAGGATTCAAATAGACACTTCTCCAAAGAAGATATTCAAATGGCCATTAAGCACATAAAAAGATGCATATTGTCACTAGTCATTAGGGAAATATAAATCAAAACCATAAAGACATACCACTTCACACCCATTAGGATAGCTGTTATTAAAAAAAAAAAAGTCACCAGAAAATAATCAAGTGTTGGTAAGGATGTGGAGAAACTGGAATACTTGTATACTGCTAATAGGAATAGAAAATGAAAGACTAAGATAGTTTCTTAAAAATTTTTTAATAAAATTACCATAATATCTAGCAATTTCACTTCTGGGTATATACCCAAAAGAATTGAAAGCAGGCCGAAACCGGTTTGGCTCAGTGGCTAGAGCGTCGGCCTGGGGACTAAGGGGTCCCAGGTTCGATTCCAGTCAAAGGCATGTACCTTGGTTGCGGGCACATCCCCAGTGGGAGGTGTGCAGGGAGGAGCTGATCGATGTTTCTCTCTCATCGATGTTTCTAACTCTCTATCCCTCTCTCTTCCTCTCTGTAAAAAATCAATAAAAGAAAAAAGAAAAAAGAATTGAAAGCAGCATCTCAAACAGATATTTGTACACCCATGTCCACAGCAGTATTATTCACAACAGCCAAAAAGAGGAAGCAACCTAACTTCAGCTGACAATACTTAATTTCACTTTGGACCAACATAATTATATCAACCTAAAGAGCTATAATTATAAATAAACTTCATTGTAGATGGTGACAGTATTAAAAAATCTAGTAAAAATATCTAGTAACTATGATGTTTAAAAATAGTTTTTAAATCTAAAAATATGGGCTCATCTTAAGCCAATCAAAAATTATAGTTAAGGCAAAAGCAGGAAAAAAAAAAAAGTAATCCCACCACCCAGAGATCATTCATTATCAACAGTTTAAGATATTTCTATCAAGAACTTTGTCCTGAGGCACAGGCAAGATGGCTGATGACAACTCAACTCCCCTGGAATGTAATTTTCCAATCAGGGTTTGCATGTATTAAAATAAACATACTAGCCGAAACCAGTTTGGCTCAGTGGATAGAGCGTCGGCCTGCAGACTGAAAGGTCCCAGGTTCGATTCCGGATAAGGGCATGTACCTTGGTTGCGAGCACATACCCAGAAGGGGGTATGCATGAGGCAGCTGATCAATGTCTCTCTCTCATCAATATTTCTAACTTTCTATCTCTCTCCCTTTCTCTCTATAAAAAAACAATAAAATATATTTTAAAAATAAAATAAACATACTAGCTCTGGCAGACGTTGCTCAATGGTTAGACTTGGACTGCACAATGAAAGGTCTTCAGTTCAATTCCTGGTCAAGGGCATATATATACTTGGATTTTGGGTTCGCTCCCCACACCCAGCATGCGGGAGGCAACCAGACCATGTTTCTCTCACATCGATGTTTCTCTTTCTTTCTTCCCCTCCTTTGCTCCCTCTCTTTGAAAAGCAATGGAAAAAAAATCCTCAGGTGATGATTAATAACAACAAAAATAAAATAAACATATGATTCATAAAACAAAGCAAAACATTTATGTCTTATGTTCTTACACATGCATGTATTTGTATTTTAGTTTGTGCCTGGAATTTAATGAATCAATATTGATGCTTATAAAGTATATAAAAGAGACAATACATTACTCCTGCCCCTCCCACCTTCTGCTCCCATCATTTTTTCTTTTTTAAGTAAAAAAAGGATTTCTTACTTGGGGCAGGTAGCCCACCACTGGATCGTTTATATTTGCTCTCCTTTAAAATGGATGTAATTTTATATAAATGACGAAAACCTGTTTTGCATTCAGAGGCAAAAATAAATTCAATTTCATCTTCATGACTTTGGGGAAAAACATGAAAGATGTCATGGATCTGTAAAATGAATAGCTTAATTTACTACACAGATTAATGAAATAATATGTAAACAATTAAATTTAGCTAGAGAAAGACTTGATAAGCATATTCTGAAGTATAAATAACTGATGGTGCTAGGGGATATGGTATATTTACAATTATTTTGCCTAGGCATTTCAGATTTATCTTATTTAAGTCAAAGACTTCATGCATTGAGAAATAAATGTTTCCAAATGGAGAAAAAAATGCCAAAAGCTTTTTCTTACTCACCATTTCTGTAATCCTTGAAACATGGCATGAGGCTTATTTAAGGATCTAAATCTTATTACAGAAATTATGAGGAAAAAGTTTTTAACATTTTTTCCAAAGGAAAATGTTCTAACAGTTAAAGGGAAAACAGATGTTTGTTTTAGGTGAATCTTATAAAGTTTATATTCAGCAAGGGAATGAGCTGGCTTTCTTTATTTTGTATCTTAAGTTTTTCCCACTAAATTGGAAAATGCACAATTCAACCCAAACTGTTGTATTTTAGTATAATCTGCCAACAAAAAGAGCAAGTCTTTTCTGCACAGGACGCTCACGGTCCTCTCGGAGGTGCTGATGAGGCTGTGCTTCCAGTATCTGTGTCTAGGAACAAGGGTGAGCCTGCAGCCAGGGACATGTCATTCAATGGCATCTATTTTCTATCTACACCCATTTCATTGTTCTAGAACCATCACTCCAATCTGAAATGTTAAAACTAAGTAAATAATATTCATGGTTACTTTGAACTTAAAAATTCATCTTGATAGTCTGCTATAAAACTTCATTTGCTTTAGCATTCTGAGAAGATATCTAACCACGCACAGGAGAGCAGACATACATTTATCCAGATGTCTGTTGTTTCTTCGTAGATAATCAGTGGCGTCACAGAGTCAGGCACTGACTCAATGAGTCTCTGCCTTTCCATGGCGTCATCTTCAACTGGGATAAATAATTCAGGCGAGATCAACACTATCTGTAGGCGAGTCTGGGAGCGATCTAGCAGGATGGACCAAGCACTATTTAAACAAATAAGAGAAAAACACCAAAAATAAAGCAAGTTCTCAATAAATGAATATTCTCCTATTCTCTCCCCTAGAACCCATCTGTTATTTCTGCAATCATAAGAAGTTACTTTAGTATATGCTAAATTATCCCTTGCAGCTTAACAATAACCCACAACCTTCGGACCAACTTAAATTATCCCTTGCAAATGACAAATTAATTTCCAAAATCACAGATGGACTTTGAAATCGTTTTCTCCCTCTAGTGTCAACAAACGCCAGCCTCATAATACTCCTGTTGTCCACATTAGACAGAATCATATGTAAACATCTTCACATAAGGCTCTACAAATACTTCTGTTTAAACTATACAATAAAAAATATGCACTTTCCTGTGAGCCTTAAAGTCATACTATTTTAATCACAAATAACTGAAACTATGACTGGCTAAGTAAGAGACAATTAAAATGCTATGCATCTATGCTTACAGGATTACAAATCCCAAAGTCCACTAAGGTTAAAAAAAAAAATCTTTGTGTATAAATAACACTGCAAATTTACATGTGACGACAGCTCCAACTGAAAGGCAAACTTAATATAGACATTTCTAAAGTTCTGGATCCTAAATTATTTGCAAAGAAGTGACAAAATACGTACTATTTTCCCTCTGGAGTCCATCCAGCTCTGGCAATATATTCAACTCCTTCAAACAGAATCTCAAAAGGCTGAATTAGTTCCTTATCTATGACATCTATAATCTATTAAAAAGGAAAAAGGGAATCTAATTATAGAAGACTTAGATAATTAGCTTACTAGTCTATTTAAATCATTATCTTTAGTAGCATGATACTTTAGCAGAGCTAGACATTTTAAAAAGGCACACAGGATATAGCAAAACCAGCAGCTGTGGGTGACCTCGCTGGTGCTCCTTATGCCTGAAAAAGTCTAACCACAGAATTAACACAGTCTATCATGGTTGCCAGAAGGGATGGGGGAAAGTTGGGGAACTGAGTGAAAATGGTGAAGGGATTAAGAAGTACAAATTGGCCCAGCTTGTGTGGCACAGTAGTTGAGCTTCAATCTATGAACCAGGCTGGAGCATGTGCCTGGGTTGCGGGCTCAATCCCCAAGAGACAGTCACAAAGTAGTCACGGAAACGTAAAGTACAGCATAGGAAAAATAGTCAATAATATTGTAGTAACTGTGTACAGTGCCAAATGGGTACTTGAAATTTTGGAGGAACCACTTGTAAAATATATGACTATCTAAACACAGGCATACACCTGAAACTAATACAAAATAATATTAAGTGTCAACTATAACTGAAAAATAAAATAAAATAATTTTTTTTTTAAACAATTAGCACAGCCCTAACTAGTTTGGCTCAGTGGATAGAGCATCAGCCTGGGGACTGAAAGTTCCCAGGTTCGATTCCAGTCACAGGCATGTAACTTGGCTGTGAGTATATCCCCAGTAGGAGGTGTGCAGGAGGCAGCTGATCGATGTCTCTCTCTCATCTATGTCTCTGACTCTCTGTCCCTCTCCCTTCCTCTCTGTAAAAAAATCAATAAAGTATATTAAAAAAAAAAAGAATTAGCACAGTATAAAAGTCTTTTCCCATGAGTTTATACTAACAGAACTCTATAGTAACTGGTTAAACAGTTTTAATAACTTTAGACTCTAGTACCTATGAAAAAAATAATAATTCTTAGTTCCTATGTTTTATTTTTATGTATTAAAGGCCCAGTGCATGAGATTGGTGGGGGTGGTGGGGAACTTCAGACGGCCTGTGTCCTCTCACAGTCCAGCACCATCTGCTAGCTTAGGCTTGATCCCTCTCACAATCCAGGACCCCTCGCTCCTTACTCAATAAAGTAACTTACTGAAGCGAAGGCAGGAGAGGCTCCTGCCACCACCGCTGCACTCACTGTGAGCCCGGCCTGTGGCGGAGCAGCGCTCCCCCTGTGGGATTGCACTGACCACCAGGAGACACATCTTGCATTGAGCATCTGCCCCCTGCTGGTCAGCAATGGACTGTTCGGCCATCAGGTCAACTCGCATATTAACCCTTTATTATATAGGATTATTTTTTACTTTGTAATACTTTTATTAAGAGTGAACTGATGCCCTAACTGGTTTGACTCAGGTTCCTATCCCACTCTCTGCTCTTACTCCCCACACTGTCCTCATCCATAGGTGTACAATTTTTGTTCAGTGTCTTCCCGCACCCCCACTCCCTTTTCCCCCCAGAGAATCGTCAGTCCACTCCCTTTCTGTACCCCTGACTCTATTATATTTACCAGTTAATAATGTCATTCAGATTTTTAAAAATATACTTTATTGATTTTTAACAGAGAGGAAGAGAGAGGGATAGTTAGAAACATCAATCAGCTGCCTCCTGCACACCCCCTACTGGGGATGTTCCCACAACCCCATTTCCATGCCCTTGACTGGAATTGAACCTGGGACCTTTCAGTCCGCAGGCCAACGCTCTATCCACTGAGCCAACCCAGTTTCGGCTCATCACTTTGAATATTTCTTGCCATTCTCATCTGGCCTGCATAGTTTCTATTGAGAAATCAGCTGACAGTCATATGGGTGCTCCCTTATAGGTAACTAATTGCTTTTGCTGCTTTTAATATTCTCTCTTTGTCTTTTGCTCTTGGAATTTTAATTATGACCTGTCTTGGTGTGGTCCTCTGTGGATTCCTTTTGTTTGGGGTTCGGTGTGCTTCCTGGACTTGTAAGTCTATTTCTTTCACCAGGTGGGGGAAGTTTTCTGTCATTATTTCTTCAAATAGGTTTTCAGTATCTTGCTCTCTCTCTTCTTCTGGCACCCCCATAATTCTTACGTTGGTATGCTTGAAGTTGTCCCGGAGGCTTCTTACACTATCTCTAACTTTTTGTATTCTATTTGCTTTTTGCTTTTCTGGAAGAGTGTTTTTTGCTTCTTGGTATTCCAAATCTTTGACTTGATTCTTGTGATCCTGTAGTCTGCTTTTAGGTCTTTGTACAATATTTTTTATTTCAGTCAGTGTATGCTTAATTTTTAGTTGACCCCTTTTCTTACCCTCAAGGGTATCATTTAATTTATCAGCCTTTTCTAGGAAATTCTTGAAAAATCTTATAACTGTGGTTTTGAACTCTATATCCAGACTTTTGCTTTCCTCCATTTCCTTCAACTGAGGCCTGCCTCTTTGTCTCCATATTTTAGCTGCTTCCCTGAGTTGATGGAGTGGCTTTGTGTGCTAGGTGTCCTAGCAGGGCCCAGTTACCTATGGTGGACCCTCTTGGTGCAGCCCTTTGTGGGCTGTATGTGCAGTCTTGTTGTAGTTAAGCCTTGCTTGTTGTTGGTATCAACTGGGGAGAATTGATCTCCGAGCCAAATGGCTGTGATGATCAGCAGTGTCTCCACTAGGAGGGCTTCTGTGCTCAGCTTGGATGGAGCAATCTCAGGGTGGCGCAGATAAGCTTTGGTTTCCCGTCAGTCCCGCCCTAAGAGAACCTTGTTCTCAGAGTCCCATGGCAATGGCTGCTGGCCACACACACCTCTCAGAGAAGGTGGCTCTCGAGTTTCGCCCGCTGCAGACAGTCCAATTTCTCCCTGACTGGAGCTGGATATCAGTGCAATCAGGGGGTTTTGTTTTCCTCCCCAAACAGAAAGCTCGCTGCGCGTTAGCTGCCCGCCCTCTTCACGCTCACGGATCTCCGCACCTCACAGCTACTGAGGCTCAGCGTCCTTTTCTCTTTTTTCTCGTTGGTAGAGCTTCCACTCAGCCAGCTTTCTGGTGGTTCTAGATGCTGTCCACTCTGTTTTCCAGTTGTAATTTTAAAATTGTTGTGGTAGGCTACACTTAGATGTTTACCTTATGTCGCCATCTTGGTTTCTCTCTCTCTGTCTTTTAAATCTATATCTACATCTACATCCTCGAGGAAATCTTGATGACTGCCACCAGAACCATTTTTTGAGCAAATTTCCCAATCACCCCTTCCTTCAATTCTCAGCATTCAGCAGTAGCATACAAATTGGCAGGTTTATCACCTTTTACTTCTATATTTCCCAGAATTCTTGCCATACTCATTCCTTTAATTAATTGGCCAAATACTACATGTTTTCCATTGAAATGAGGAGTTGGAACTATTGTGATAAAGAACTGTGATATTTCTAGTTGGTAGAGCTTCCACTCAGCCAGCTTTCTGGTGGTTCTTTCTGGTGGCTGAATAGGCTGCTGGCTTACTCGTTCTTTATCACAGTTCTTTATTGTGATAAAGAACTGTGATAAAGCCCTAACCGGTTTGGCTCAGTGGATAGAGTGTAACCTGTGGACTCAAGGGTCCCAGTTTCGATTCTGGTCAAGAGCATGTACCTTGGTTGAGGGCACATGCCCAGTAGGGAGTGTGCAAAAGGCAGCTGAATCGATGTTTCTCTGTCATCGATGTTTCTAACTCTCTATCCTTCTTTCCTCTCTGTGAAAAAATCAATATATATATATATATATATTAAAAAAAAAAAAAAAAGAGCTGAGAACCATTTGTATTGCAGCCAGCATTTACCATGCTCAATAAATCCTCATGGTTGTGCTTATAATAGAAATTTTCATCTTCAAACTTTTCACCATAAATACTTTATCCACCTGTCCCATTCTGATTTTAGAAATATCAACCCTGAATCGTAAATTTATTAATAATTTGATAGAATGGGCATCTTCTGAAACGGAGAAGTTTACTGGCATAGGTCCAATGTCTTTTTCTTCTATACACAATGCATGAAAATTTTCTGCAGCTTTGGGTACAATATCTACAAACAATTCTAGGACCACTTGACCAACTCACTTGCCTCCTATGTCCACATTAAAAAAAACCTTGGGAGTTACTGGGGTTGGAAGGCCTAGGGGATGGGTGTGATATTTTGACTTGCAAATGTTTTTGGAAGTGGCTCATGTTCCCCTGGAAGCTAAAACCCAACACTTGCTCCCTACATTTTAGTCTAAAATATTACTTTTATGATATATTAGTGAAATAGTCCTGTGTAAGCAAACTTTTCTCCTTTAAAAGTCTAGCCAATACAATTAAAAAATGTGTTTTAAATGGGCAAAGAATATGAATAGAGAGTTCTCTAAAGAAGATATACTAATGGCCAATAAGCAGATAAAAAGATGCTCAACATCATTAGCCATCAGGAAAATGTAAATCAAGACAATAATGAGCCCAGCTGGCATGTCTCAGGGGTTGAGCACTGACCTATGAACCAAGAGGTCACAGTTTGATTCCCAGTTAGGGCATATGCTCAGGTTGCAGGCTCAATTCCCAGTGTGGGTTGTGAAGGGGTAGCCAATATAAATATCCTATATAATAAAAGCCTAATATGCTAAGTGTCCAGTCATCCATTCAACCAATCAAAGAATAATATGCTAATGAAATGTAGGCCCCTCAACCACTCACTTTGACGTGCACTGACCACCAGGGGGCAGATAGTCAACCAGTCACAATGATGTGCACTGACTATTAGGGGGCAGTCGACCAGTTAACCAGTTGCTATAATGTGCGCTTACCACCAGGGGGCAGATGCTCCAACTGGTAGGTTAGCTTGCTGCTGGGGTCCGGTCAATCAGGACTAAGCGAGATGAACTGAACACACCCTGGAGCCCTTCCGCGGCCCCTCCCCAGCTGACCAACCTCTCGCATCCCTCCCTGGCCCCAGTAATGCACTGGTGGAGTCCCTAAGCCTGGCCTGTGCCCACTCGCAATCTGGGACCCCTCAGGGGATGTTGGAGAGCCGGTTTTGGCCCAATCCCGCAGGCCAGACCGAGGGGCCCCATTGGTGCAAGAATTTGTGCACTGGGCCTCTAGTGTGTATGTGTGTGTGTATATATATATTTGGATACCATGCACCAAAAGGTCACACTGGTCAGATTCCCGGTCAGGGCACTTGACCAAGTTGTGGGCTCAATCCCTGGTGGGAAGGGTGGGAGGGCATATAGGAGGCAGCCAATCGATGTTTCTCTCTCACATCAATGTTTCTATCTCTCTCCCCCTTTTCCTTCCTCTCTCTCTCTAAAAAAATAAAAATTTAAATAAAGAAACAAACAGAAAAAAACACACCACAATGAGACCTACTAGGGTGTCTATAATAAATAAGATGAGTAGTAACAAATGTTGATGAGGATATGGAGAACTTGGACAACTTATACCACTGCTGTTAAATAGTGCAGCCACATTGGAAAACAGTTTGGTAGTTCCTCAAAAGGTTAAACATAAAGTTATCTTATGACCCAACAACTCCACTCCTACGTATCTAACCAAGAAAAATAAAACTGTATGCCCACATAAAAATTTATACACACACATTCATGATAGTACCCCATATAGTAAAGATGTAACATGCAAATGGTCATTACACCATGAAGCATAAGGACCGACCGCATAACATTAGGATCACGGATCAGTAGGAGGGTGGGGCAGTGAGCTACAAGTGGGTAGCAGAGAGCTATAGGAGGGGGCAGGGCAGCAGGCTATGAGGGGCGGGGAGGGGGGGAAAGGGGGAGGGAGCCAGGAGGACAGGGCAAGCAGGCAGAGAACTACTGGTGGGCGGCAATGAGCTTCCCGGAGCATGGATTCATGTGCAGGGCTACTAGTTATAATAGCCAAAAGGTAGAAACAACCCGAATGTCCAAATTGATGAGTAGATAAATAAAATGGGCTATATCCATACAATGGAGTATTAGGTAATAAAAGTAATGAAGTGCTGATACATGATACCAAAGATGGAGCTAAAAACATGATTCTAAGTAAAATAAATCAGACTGGCTATCATGTGATTCCATTTATAAGAAATGTCCAGGATTGGCAAATCTATAGACAGAAAGTAAATTGGTGATTGCCCAGAGCGGGAGAACATGGTCAGGTTGGGGGTGATAATTAAGGGATGTGGCATTTCTTTTTTGGGATGATGAAAATGTTCTAAACTGACTGTGGTGATGGTGCACAACTCTGTGAATATACTAAAAATCCCTTATAAACTTTAAATGAGTAAACTGTTTCGAATGTGAATCAGATCTCAATAAAGTTGTTTTAGTAAGTCTTAAGTCTATACTTAATCTTGTTGCATTCAGCTTTTATGCATTTGACTGTCCAAATGGAAAGCAGCACTAAAAGAGAAATGTGTGATATTTAATATACCATAAACATATATCTAACACAAAAGGTAATTCACTAGTCAATACCCAGTATTTTAAAAATATTGATCTAGAGAATTAACAAAAACAAAGAGAATAAATTATAGGAAAGGAGTGGTATGTGCACATCCCCACATTGATATTTTGGAAACCAGCAGAAAGATTTCAAAGTAGAAAATAAGGTCAACCTGAAATCATGACCCACAGATGTCTCTGCAAGTTCAACAAGCCCCCAAATAAAAAAGTGTTCCTAAGATCTCTACTATACTATTCGTCAAATGACACACAAAAATCAACTCAAGATTTTATACTCACCCTTCCTTCAGTATCAATCATTATTTCTGACATCTTAAAAGTGACTTTTGGATTTGCTGTGCCTTTAGAAAAAGATATAAATAAGTAGTAATGTATACTTAAAATCATTGAAATTTTGCTAGATCAATCTTCTTTACGCTTTAGTTAAGTCAGAATATTCTAGAGTCACAGCTTTATTGGATAAGAATCTCAGAACTCATTGCAAACTCAGTTTTGAATATGGGTATTAACAAAAGAAGCAGCAGCAGCAGAAGCTGCCTGCCCTAGCCGGTTTGGCTCAGTGAGTTTGATTCCAGGTGCATGAGGGAGGCAGCCAATTGATTTGTCTCCCACATTGATGTCTCTCTTTGTCTCTTCCCCTCCCTTCCACTCTAAAAAACACTGGAAAAAATATCCTCGGTGAGGAGAAAGAAAGAAAAGAAAAGAAAGAAGGGAAGGAAGGAATGAAAAAGAGAAGGGGGTGGGAGGAGAGGAGGGAAGAAGGGAAGAAGGGAAGGAGGGAAGGAGGGGAGGAGGGGAGGAGAGGAGGAGGGAAGGAAGAAAAGAAAGAAAGGAAAAAAAGGGAGGAAAAAAAAGGGAGGAAGGGAGGGATGGAGGGAGGGAGGGAGGGAGGGAGGAAAAGAGAAAGAGAAAGAAAGAAAGAGAGAAAGAAGCTACCTGGTCTGGTAGCTAAGTTGGTTAGAACATTGTCTTGATACAACAAGGTTGGGGTTTTGATCCCCAGTAAGGGCATATACAAAAATCAACCAATGAATGCATAAATAAGTGAACAACAAATCAGTTTCTCTCTCCCTCCCTCCCTTCCTCTGTCTCTAAAATCAATTTAAATAATAATAAGTAAATAAATAAAAAATAAAAGAGGCTGAAAAATATCAAAGTATGAAATAAAGGGAAATTTTGTATCATTTTGAAACGCTATAATCAGCAAAATGAGGAAAAATGAACAATTTATTAAGAATTTAACCCCTTGCCAGGACCGGTTTGGCTCAATGGATAGAGCGTTGGCTTGGGGACTGAAGGGACCCGGGTTCGATTCCGGTCAAGGGCATGTACCCTGGTTGCGGGCATATCCCCAGTGGGGGGTGTGCAAGAGGCAGCTGATCGATGACTCTTTCTCATTGATGTTTCTAACTCTCTATCTCTCTCCCTTCCTCTCTGTATAAAAATCAATAAAATATATTTTTTTTAAAAAGAATTTAATCCCTTGAAAATCTTTATTTTCCATCAAAGACATCTTTTTATTCATCCCTTGAAATAACCAGTTCTGTGCATTTCTCTACCTTGGAAAATAATTAAAATGGATCATCCTTTAATTTAAAAATCTACTTCAGTGACACTTAACAATCCATCCTTACTAAGGCTGTAAAATAACCAATGTTGACCATAACTGATTGCAGATTTTTGTTTGCAGAAAGTAGAAATGAGTAAATATAAATGCCAAAGAAATATAGTACCTGTTTTAGGATAACGAAATGAATCTGCCCTTCTTGTTTCCAACATAGGGGATGTAACATGAATAATTTCCACCTCAGATTCATCATTTTCTTCATACAAAATTCTAAGAATTTTGCTGCCACTGGGAGCTTAAAGGAATTTAAATATTTAAAATTTAGCATTATTCCAGAAAATAATAACTCTAGTATTATATTTTCCAAGTGAAAAATAATTTTTATATAAAATATACGACTTTCGCCAAAACTGGTTTAGCTTAGTGGATAGAGTGTCAGTATATTAAGTAACATTGTTATAAAAAGACTGAAGGGTCCCAGGTTCAATTCCAGTCAAGGACATGTACCTTGGTTGCAGGCACATCCTCAGTAGGGGGTGTTAAAGAGGCAGCTAATCGATGATTCTCTCTCATCGATGTTTCTAACTCTCTATTTCTCTCTCTTTCTCTCTGTAAGAAATCAATAAAATATGTATATTTAGAAAAATAATAAATAAAATATACGAATTTTTGTGTATGAAAATATCACCCATCTTTTACAGTAGCAAGCTGAGTTACTAAGCCATTTTTACTGGTTAACAACCATCAACTCCTTTTGGAGGGCAAAAATTGAAAAAATATAAAATGAAAAATTGAAGATTCATAAATTGAAAAATTATGTATATGTACATAATTAAAATAGGGAAATACATGTGAAGGACTTTGGTCCTTGCTTACATTAACATGCATTCCTTACTGAAAAATGAATTATTTAATTACAACTGCAATACTTTCTATAATGAAACAAATGCTATTTAAATAGAGCCCCCTTTTTTTTAATGGTTTCCCTAACTCATGACAAAATCTTGCTCTAACATACAATTATAGCAAAACATTTTACTTAAAATGTCCAAATCTAAGACATGGCTTTAAAATAAATTTTTTTCATCATCCCTTAGGGAAGTGTTCAGATGCTACCCTGTTTCCCCGAAAATAAGACAGTGTCTTGATGACACAGGGGGGAGAATCCAAGATGGCTGCTCGGGTAGGCACCTAGCCGAGCTGCACACAACAATTTCAACAAAATACAACTAAAATATAAAATGGACATCACCCAGAACTACAGGAAAGTTGACTGACTGGAAATTCTACAACGAGAAGCAAGGAGAAAACCAGAAGGAAGCGCGGAGGAGCTGGGAAAGCCTAAGGTACGGAGACACGCGGTGCGCGGAGAGGACGGAGCCAGAGAGGAGGGAGGCGGAGTGCCTGGCGGGCGTTCCCTGGCGGGAAGGAGATAAACGCTCCGAATGTGCTGGCTCCCATTCTGACTGCTCTGAACCCCAGGCCTAGGCCAGACCCCGGGGACCCAGGTTCACACAGAGGGAGCCGGGCTGAAAGGCTGAACCCCGGGGAAGAGGCGAAAGGAGGTCCAGGCGGCGGCGCCGCGCAGAGAAGGGCCGGCCGGCTGTGCCGCGGGATTGCCTGGCGGGAAGGAGACAGGGGCTCCAGACTGCTCTGAACGCCACCTCCAACTCCACTTCCAACTGAACTGAACCCCAGTTTTGGGACCATTGGGGGAGAGACTAGACTGTTTGGTAGCAGGCGAAAATCAAGGGCGCCTTTCTCTCAGAGGTGCTTACAACAAGTACTGAAGGACCCTGAGTCTCAGGAGTCGCATAGGGCGGGGCTGACGGAAGCCAAAGCTGTAGGCTCCACCCTGAAACCCCGCCCCATCAGGAAAGCTGCCTGCGAAAATGCCTAAACCAAATAGATCACAAACGAAAGAAATGGAGGACAAAAAGCGACTGGATATAGAGTTCAAAACCACACTTATAAGGTTTTTCAAGAGTTTCCTAGAAAAGGCCGATAAAATAAATGAGACTTATGAGGATATGAAAAGGGATCAACAAGAAATAAAGAATACATTGTCTGAAATAAAAACTATTATACAGAGTCCTAAAAACAGAATAGAAGATCGCAAGAATCAAGTCAAAGATTTGGAACATAAAGAGCCAGAAGATACTCCTCCGCAGAAGCTAGAAGGCAAGAGAATCCAGAAAATTGAGAATCAAGTCAAAGATTTGGAACATAAAGAGCCAGAAGATACTCCTCTGCAGTCACTAGAAGGCAAGAGAATCCAGAAAATTGAAGATGATGTAAGAAACCTCTGGGACAACTTCAAACGATCCAACATCAGAATTATGGGGGTCCCAGAAGATGAGAGAGAGCAAGATATCGAAAACATATTGAAAGAAATAGTGACAGAAAACTTCCCCCACCTGGGGAAAGAATTGGACTTACAAGTCCAGGAAGCACACAGAACTCCAAATAAAAGGAATCCAAAGAGGACCACACCAAGACAAATCATAATTAAAATTCCAAGAGCAAAAGACAAAGAGAGAATATTAAAAGCAGCAAGAGCTAGGCAGATAGTTACCTATAAAGGAGCACCTATACGATTGTCAGCTGATTTCTCAACAGAAACCATGCAGGCCAGACGGGAATGGCAAGAAATATTCAAGGTGATGAATAGTAAGAACCTACAGCCAAAGATAATCTATCCAGCAAAGCTATCACTCAAATTCGAAGGTCAGATAAAGAGCTTCACTAATAAAAAAAGACAGTGTCTTATATTAATTTTTGCTCCCAAAAGATGCGCTAGGTCTTATTTTCAGGGGATGTCTTATTTTTCCATGAAGAATAATATGGTACACATTTATTGTTAAATGAAAATAAAGGCAATTTATTACCTGTATATGGTACGGTAGTACGGTAGTTGTCAACACAAACCAGACAAACCGTAAATCCTACAGTATCAAGAATTTACTCATTTATTCAATGACAATCATGTCATCATCTTCTGGAACATCATCATAACAATCCAATTCCTGAATTTCCTGGTGAATTTCTTGTGACTCCATTTCTTTCAGAATCAGTGGACCAAATCTCTCATGTTTAGCCTAGAGGGGCCTTATTTTCGGGGGATGCCTTATATTTCACTCAGAAGGAAACATGTAAGTAGGTCTTATTTTCGGAGGATGTCTTATTTTCGGGGAAACACGGTAGCTAAACACGGTAGCTATAATCCATTAGTGAGTCACAAAATCTATTAATGGGTCATAACCAGCATTTTACAAATACAACAGAAATAATATACATAAGCATGTTATATTTAAGTATTGCCTCATAAAATTTATTTTCTAGTTTTATACCTATAAAACATTGTACAATGTATTAGGTCAGAATGTAAAAGCGAACTTCTCACTGGGTCATGCAATGTCAGTCACTGCTTTAGAAAGCTGTTTCTCTGGCAGTAAAATAGTTGTAAATTCACTAAGAAAAAAAGAGAAATTTGTGTCCTTTTCTTCTCATCCATTAATACACTAACCGGGGTGTCTGTTCATACAGATTCTCTAATCAATACCAAGACCAGCTCCTAAATGAAAAATTAGCAAGGGGAATTGAATGACCTAAACCAATGAACCACAATATAATTGTTTTTTATTAGAATTCATTATGGTGGAATATAGCCTATATATTCTAAATAACTAGATGTTCTTTTTAGTGATATATATTTGCATTATATATTGATGTGTATTACATTTAACACAGAGACACATCAAAATGAGGGGATAAACACTGCAGCCTTTGCATTCTCTATAATCTCTACAGAAAGATCCTAAACGGCGGAATCTTGGTATTGTGATGTACAGAAATGGAGAAGAGTATTACACAGTATTTAAGAATAATAAACAAATACTATCTTCATTACTTCAAAATCTACTAATCAAGATTTACAATCTGTACACTTAATTATTTTAAACCTTCTTACTTGTTTCAGCTTCTGGACACCACCAATAGCCAGAATATCTATCAAATTCTTCTTGAAGAACAAAGGTAGCGACTCCAGCTGATCTGGGATCCTCTTCCATGTTGGCTAGCTCTAGACAAACACAAAAGGCAAAATTATCACAGGAAGTTCTCTACCTTTTCATGGGTACAAAGCAGAATGATTCAGTTTATTTTGAAAGGCAGCAGTAGTATAGAGTTCAGTGAACTCTGGAGCCAAAGAGACTGAATTCAAATCATTTACTGTCTGACCTTGGGCTAATCACCCAGTCTCATTCCACTGAAGTATTCCATTTGTCAATGAGAAGAAGAATCTACCTTTTAAGGTTGTTATGAGGATTAAATGAATTAATTCACATAAAGCACTTAGAACAAAGCCTAAACCACAATATGTGCTCCATAAATGTTATTTTCCAATTTAGCCCGATTCATGGAAAAAAAGAACACTGAAAAAGATCATGTTAACTTGTAACTCTCGAGACGTACATTTTTAGACCTAGAATGGGTCTTAGAGATCATGTAATTCATGATTCCCTCTTTCTGCCCTCCCTGCTCTTCAACCAGAGCAACTCAGCTTTTATCTATTTTACACTTAAAAGTTTCCTGTAAATAGTTGGAAGGGAACTTGTGCTTTAAAACCAAAAATGATGAAAACACATAATATATAAGATTTCATGACATGGGGAAATGTTTACAATACCCTTGAATTAAAAAAAATATATATATATTACGCTAAATAGCATGTATGCTGTGATTCCAATTATAAAAATGTTAAACATATATTTAAAAATGTATTGGGCCCAGCTGGTGTGGCTCAGTGGTTGAGCATCAACCTATGAATCAGGAGGTCACAGTTCGATCCCTAGTCAGGGCACATGCCAAGGTTGTGGGCTTGGTCCCCAGTGTGGGGCCTGCAGGAGGCGCCACTCAATGATTCTCTCATCACTGATATTTCTGTCTCTTGCTCCTGCTTCCTTCCTCTCTGAAATCAATAAAAATATATTTTTTAAAAAATGTACTGGGATGTAAACCAAAATGTGGTTTTCTCCAAATAGTGGGACTATGGATAAGCTTTAAAAAAAAAAAAAAAAGCTTCATAATTTATAAAACCTTAAGTGTACCTTTTATTTTTGAAAAATGCATACACTTGTATAACATCCTATCAAGACAGAGAATACTTCTAATACTCCAGAATGTTTTCTCATGCTCCTTTTCAGCCAATGTCCATTCCTGCCCAGAAGGAACTATTGATCTGATTTCTATCATCATAGGTTAGTTTTGCATATTCTAGAATACCATATAAATGAAATCATACAGGGGAGTATGGGTGGGGAATTAAGAAAAAAAGAGAGAGCTCATGAACATAGACAACAGTGTGGTGATGGTGGGGGTAAAAGGGATGGATGGAGATGGAAGAGGGCACAGAAAGGGTAAATGGTGACGGATAAAAACAAAACTAAATTATATTTAAAAATAAATCATATAGTACCTATTTGTGTCTGTTTTTTAAATTCATCAATGTTGTTGCATCAACATTACGTTGTATCAATGTATTGCTAATTGCTTCCTGTTTATTGCTAAAAAGTATTCCATTGTATACCACAGTTCTTTTATTCATTTATCTCTTAATAGACATCTGGGCTGCTTCCAATTTTGGGATATTATAAAGAAAGATGCTGTGACCATTCTTTTTTTCTTTTTAATATTTTAAAAAAATTGATCTCAGGAAGGAAGATCAAGAGACAGAAACATCAATGATGAGAGAGAATCACTGGTTGACTGTCTTCTGCACATACCCTACTGGGGATTGAGCCATAACCTGGGCAAGTGCCCTGACTGCCCAACTATGACCTCCTGGTTCATAGGTCCACGCTCAACCACTGAGCCACACCGGACAGATGCATTATGATCATTCTTGTATAAGAATCTTTGTAGATGTGGTTGCAGCTGCAGCAGAGCTGTTTTACCCACTCCTGCTTCTGATTCTCTGTTGTTCACTCTTACAGAGGAATGAGTGGGTCAGGAAGCAGCACCGCAGCCGTAGGTTTTAAAGATACAAGAAAGACACCCATGGAACTAGAGGTGGCAATGCACCCAATTAAAATTTCTCTAACCAGCCACAACATTGAATCTTTGGAGAACGTGTGTGCTGACTTGATCAGAGGTGCCAAGGAAAAGAATCATAAAGTGCAAGGATCAGTTCGGATGCCTACCAAGAGTCTGAGAATCACTATTAGAAAAACTCCCCATGGGGAAGGTTCTTGGAATAGTTTTCAGATGAGCATCCATAAGCTACTCATTGACTTGTAGTCCTTTTGAGGTAAAGATTACTTCTGTCAGTATTGAGCCAGGAGTGGAGATTGAAATAACTTTTAATAAACTATAATTTGTAAAGGAAAAAAAAAAGAAAGAGAAACTTTGAAATATATGTTTTTTGTCTTAAATAAAGACATAAGAGTGGATTGGCTGAATAGTATGATAAGTATATGCTTAACTTTTAAAAAACTGCCACATAGTTTTCTTTAAAAAAATTTTTTAAATTGATTTCAGAGAGGAAGGAAGAAGGGGAGGGAGGGGAGGAGGGAGAAAGGGAAATGGGTACAGAGGGAGAGGGTGTAGGGGAGGGAGGGAGGGAAGAAGGGAGGGAGAGAGAGAGAGAATATATGAATGAATATCAGAGAACTGTTGATTGGCTGCCTCCTGTATGCCCCACACTAGGGTTTGAGCCTGCAAGCCAAGCATGTGCCCTGACTGGGAACTGAACTGTGACCTTCTGTTTCAGAGGATGGGCTGCCACACAGTTTTCCAAAGTATTTGTATACTTAGTAGAAATGTATGCTGAGTCTCTCCAGCCTTTGGTGTTCTTCATTGTTTTCACTTTAGCCAGTCTAATGGGTATGTAGAATAATGTTTCATAGTGATTTAAATTTTATGTATTATTTTTATTTGTATTTTCTATAGTGTATATTGTCTAAAATGAATGTGCAGTATGAACCAATAATCCCTTATCCAAAATATTTGAATTTAGAAGTGTTTGGAGCTCGGAATTTCCCCCCCAAGTATTATACATCTATCATTAATTACACAACATCTCCAGCAGCGTAATCAAATACACCAATATTCATTCCTGCAGCAAACACAAATAGGCACATTAGGTAGGATTAAGATTATAAATATCCTCAGGTCAGGTCAGGTTTTGCCACCAAATGAGTTTTAGCACCAAGCTAATAAAAAAAAAAAAATCTGAGTTTTAAATTTTTTTTTTTTTTTTAATTTTGGAATTACTGACACAAGCAAAACCAGTGTTCAGTTTTCTTGGACCTTTCAATTACCCCAAAATATACCCGTCCCCCCACAAAACTGTTTTATATTTTGTTCTCCTTGAGATATGAAAATAAGTACTACTCATTTGTATATCCCTATTACTTATTACAGACCTTAATTATTAAAAGTTATTTATTAAATGAACAAATGGTCAACCTATTCTCTCAATGGATTCTTCATTTGAGAGTAGAGGCTGGCACTAACATTACTTTTAAATTCCTCTATCATACTAGGTAGAGAACAAACACATGCATATGCTGACTGATAAACTCAACTAAAAGCAGACTTTCACTAAAAAGTTATTGTGAATAAGAGGAATAAGAGTGATGATGCTCACTCTCTACTTACCTTTCTATCTAAACAAACAGTTAACATTTACAATAGTTCAGACACTGTCCTAAACACTTCACAAATATTACACTTGATCTTAGCCAAAAGGCTTGATTCCCCAGTAGGAGGCTGTAGGAGGCAGCCCATCAATGATTCTCTCTCATCATTGATGTTTCTCTCTCTCCCTCCTTTTCCCTTCCTCTCTGAAATCAATAAAAATATCACACACACACACACGAAGACAGCATTACACAGGTGATACATATCACTTATCCTCTGCATGTTTTTCTTTTTTAAAGATTTGAATTTAAAATACAAAGATCGCCTAGTTTACTTCATTTTCAAAATATAAACAAAAGCAAATTACATTTAAAAAACTTTTCAGAAAAGTGAATTTGAAGAACTACCATTACCATTGTGCACAAAGGTTAGCCTCCTTTCTTCTCTGGTTACAATGTTGGATATCCAAATATCATTGCTATGTATAAATGCAATCCAGTCTGGATCAGCTGGGCATAATTTTGGATCCATCCTAATGTTGGGACAACTAGTCTCCACTAAATTAGGCCGTAAGGGTTGTTGCTAGAAAAGTAAACAACATTTTAAAGAAAGTGTTAGGCTGATACATACATATTTGTTTGCCAGCACCCTTCCTATAAAATGAACAATAATTTCAAGTAAAATGTCAACTATGACAATTATTCCCTAGAAAAAATATATTTCTTATGCCTTAACTTATTAAGAAGGACTCATTTTTTAAACTATGAATTAGAAAACTAAGAGTAATAGGAACTTTATAAATTTTGCTATCCAAATCTGTTTAATAATTATTTATTAAAATAACTTATTTTTATTTATTAAACATTTCACGTTAACTTTAACAATATAAAAGTTTGCTCATAAAAAAATGTAATGAAAGCCAGGATCATCACAATTCTATCAAAAGAACCATTCTACTAGCACATAAAAAATTGCATGGGATAAAACCAAACATTTAAAACCACTTATTAAGATGAGTTTAAGCATATAAGGGAACCAAAAATAGATTGCCTTGTGATAATATTATCCACCCACTCCCACTCCTCAGCACTTTCTCAGAAAGTGGGTACTGATGTCCTTTAACTATATCTTCCTAATAAGATAGCATGTGGTTTTAGCATTTAAAAAATTTACATTACTAACTACGGACATGAACATCAGGGGGGTGAGGACATAGTGGGGGTGGATAGGTTTGGAGGGTTAATGGAAGGATGAGGACACATATGTAATACCTTAATCAATAAAGAAATTTAAAAAAATTTATATTAATGTCACTAGAAAAATTAACTCCTAAAATTAGAATACTAAATTTTTTAGCTGATGGGTAAACAGAATATTTTGGTTTAATTATCTTTCTGATTTGGGTGCAAATAACTCTGAGGACCCCAAAACACATTTAATAAGCAGTAATACCAACTTACAGTAAATCCTTGTGGCCCTCCATCTTTTACGTGATATATTCCACTACCGGCTTGAAAGAGAAATGTTCCACTTCCTTGGTGATAATCATAAGAAGCAATTCCAACTGTTCCAATGCGTTTTCTTTCTCTTAATAGTTCTTCTTCTCGAGAATACATTCCATAGTCCAGTGTTGCCTAATGTAAAATTAATTTTAACAACATAAAATAGTTTGCTCATAAAAAAATGTAATGAAAGCCAGGATCTGTGGCCGTGCTCGGGATGTCCGACTGACAGCTTAGGCCTGCTCCCTGCGGACAGCCCCCACGGGCTCCTAGACCGCGAGTGGGCACAGGCCGGGCTGAGGGACCCCCCACCTGGACGCGTGAATTTATGCACCGGGCCTCTAGTCCTCTAAAAAACCCCTAGGTCAGATTGGTCACACCACTGATGTAAAACATAACATGTGATGTTTTGCTTCCTGGCCTTTGTCACTTCCATTTTCCCCCTTAAAAGGGTATTTTTCATTTAACCCACCCAGATTTTAAAGTTATCCCAAAACCTTAGCTCTAATTCAACCCTGACCAGGAAAGCTTCCTGGTCCATTATGGTGTATAATAGTGATCTCTTCTTTGAAATTTATGTAAGAGTTACTGTCTCTTTTACTCATTTGGCTATCGTTTGGCTTTTCACTTTTTTCAGTATTTCTGAGTAGAAATATGTCTTAAAAAGCACAAAACACTTGAGAGCAGAATCTGTCATTTTATTTTCCTACCTATAGTATTTGCTAAAATATTTCTCAAAGAATATTTGTAGCCCTAACAGGTTTGGCTCAGTGGATAGAGTGTCAGCCTGAGGATGAAGGGCCCAAGGTTCAATTCTGGTCAAGGGTACATGCCCGGGTTTTGGGCTCAATCCCCTGTAAAGGGCATGCAGGCGACAGCCAATCAATGATCCTCTCTCATCATTGATGCTTCTATCTCTCTTCCCTATCCCTTCCTCTAAAATCAATAACGATATATTAAAAAAAGATAATACTGGATCTACTTTTCACATATTCCAAATATGTTAGAGATTTAAATGTTAAAATGAACTAAACTTTCCATTTATACCCAAGATAGAGTAACAGGGACCAGATATATCCTCCCTGTTTCTGAAACAACTGAGAAAATGAACAAAATATATGAAATAACACTGGACATAAGACAATAAAGGACAGTGATCTTTGAAAAATAGAAAACAAATGAGGTAAGCTGTATACTTGAACTGCCTTGACAATTTTATAGATGTTGGCACAAGAAGGAAGCTAATAGGTCAAAGAAAAAAAAATCACAACTACATTAAAAAAGAGATCTCAGGAGAAAAAAGGAGACATAAGTAATATTTTCAACAATAAAGAATTATTTTAAAAGAGACAGAGCTCAAATTAATAAGCCAACTTTCTATCTAGGACTGTAAAAAAAGAAAAGCAGACTAAATCCAAAGCAAGGAGGAATAAGTAAATAATACAAATTAGATTTGAAATAAAACGAAATGTAAAACAGAAAAACAATAAAGCTCAACAAAACCAAAAGTTGGTTATTAAGAATCATATATGGCTAAAGGGATTTTAAGTAAATAGTATAAACAGTTGTATGCCAACTAATTGGACGAAACAAACAAACCACCAAAACTGACTCAAGAAATAGGAAATCTGAATAGACTTATAATGAGAAAAGATACTGAGTTAATAATAATAATAATAATAATAATAATAAACTTCCCACAAAAAAAAGTCCAGGATTAGATGGCTTTATTGATAAATTCTACCAAATGTTTAAGAAGGATTAAGATGCACCCTAGTCACACTTTCCAATTTCAAAAGTTAGTACAAAGCTACATTAATGAAGACAGCATGATACTGGCAAATAGGTCACTGGAATAGAATTGAGAATCCAGAAATATTGGGTCTAGTAATAATTAATGTCGTTTTAAAACATTCGTTTAAAATCTTGCTTGGCGTTGACTTGTATTGACATAACCTTCAAACACGTGGTATCTACAGAATGTGTGAAGTGCAATTAACAAGTTTTGCTTGAAAAAGTTTGTGTTTGGTTTGGTTTTTGTTGCAAAACTAGGGCTAAGAAGATGGCGGATGAAGAGCATATTCGGCACTGCATGCTTTACGAGTTCCAATTAGGAAGAAAAGCAAGTGAGGCTGCAAAAAACATCTGTAGTGCTCTTGGTCAAGATGCAGTTAGCGCCAGAAAATGCCAGCGTTGGTTTGAGAAATTTCGCGAGGGAAATTTTTCGTTAGATGACAAGAGTGGTCGAGGCCGTGTGTCCAATTTTGATCAAGAAGCTCTTCAAGCTCTTTTGGTGCAAAATCCTCAAATTGCCCAACAAGAGCTTGCGACAACTTTAAATTGTTCACAAAAAACAATTTCCAATCAATTGCGTGCACCTGGCAAAGTCCAAAAGTTTGGAAAATGGGTTCCTCATGAGCTGACCGACAACAACCGTAATCAAAGAGTCACAATTTGCAGTTCGCTCCTCTCTCGTCAAAACCGTTTGCCGTTTTTAGAGCAAATTGTTACCGGAGATGAAAAATGGGTGCTGTATGTTAATTTGAAAAGGCGGCCTCAATAGTTGGACAAAAATGAGGCTCCGCAGCCCACGCCAAAACCTGACTTGCATGCGAAAAAAGTGATGTTGTGTGTTTGGTGGAATTTTAAAGGAATTCTTCATTATGAACTTTTACCATCTAACCAAACCATTATAAGTGCAGTGTATAGTGCCCAATTGGAAAGGTTAGCCCAAGCTTGAAGAGAAAAAGAACCCGCGCTGATTAATCGGAAGGGCGTAATTCTTCACCACGATAAGGCACGACCGCATACTGCAAGAATCACTGCTGAAAAACTGCGCCAGTTGGAATGGGAAGTTCTCCCTCAACCTGTATATTCTCCTGATATTGCCCCTTCCGATTACCATTTGTTTCGTTCTTTGCAAAACTTTCTTCTTGGAAAAAAATTTAATAATGAAGAATGCCTCAAAACTGCATTGACCGAATTTTTTGCATCAAAATCACAAGAATTTTACAACAGAGGGATTAAAATGCTTCCTGAGCGTTGGGCTCAAGTAGTAGAAAACAATGGCAACTATATTGTTGATTAATTTTTGTTGTATTGTTTAAATAAATTCGATTTTAAAAGTATTAGAAAACGACATTAATTATTACTAGACCTAATATTTCCAGACATTTACGGTCAATTAACTTTCAACAAGAGTGCTAAGACTATTCCATGGGGGTAAAATAGCTTTTCAACAAATGGTACCGGTACTAAACAAGTTAATTTGAACCCCTATCTCATACCACATACAAAAATTAACTCAAAATGGATCCAAGACCAAAATGTAAGAGCTAAAACTGTAAAACTCATGTAAGAACATACAGATGAAAATCTGTGTAACCTTGAATGAAGCAACAGTTTCTTATATGTGACACCAAAAGCACAAGCAATCACAGGAAAAAAAAAACAAAAAACTGAATTCATCAAAATGTAAACTTTGCTGGACTTCTGACGCTGGGAGGATGCATATGGGGGTGGCATACATCGAAGTAAACCCCAATCCTCAAATGATGAATAATCAAGGCATCTCGCTGACCTACATCATGTTGGTAGGACTGCTACATGTGGTTCTATTCAGCATTCTCTTCTTCAGTATTCCTGTTGTCCGGACCTTGACCAATATCATCCATAATTTGTCTATGTATGCCTTCTTACATACAGAGAAAGGTACACCCTTTGAGATCCCTGCCCAAAGAAAGGCTTGGCTACTGACACTGGTAATAGATGGTAACCTCTTCCTTCAATAAAGGAGAAGTCTAAAAATATTTTATCCTCCATAAAAAAGAGATCACAGTGACTATATTTATTTATTTTAAAATATATTTTATTGATTTTTTACAGAGTGGATGGGAAAGGGAGAGAGTTAGAAACATTGAATAGTGAAAAACATCAATCAGCTGCCTCTTGCACACCCCCTACTGAGGATGTGCCTGCAACCAAGGTACATGCCCTTGACCGGAATAGAACCTGGGACCTTTGAGTCCACAGGCTGACATTCTATCCACTAAGCCAAACCAATTAGGGCCAAAGTAACTATATTTAAATGTATGGATCTAAATTAACGATTATAGTACTAAACACTTGCCAAAGGTAACTGTAGCTGATTTTATATTCATAAAGTAAAAAGAAAACTCATAGAATGGGAGAAAATATTTGCCTTTTTTTTTTTTTTTGTCTGGATACTAGCCATCTGTTAAGGGTCTAAGTATCAAAAAAACAAAACAAAACAAAAAAACCTCTTGCAACTCAACATTAAAAAGACCCAATTAAAAATGAGCAAAGGGCCGAGACCGGTTTGGCTCAATGGATAGAGCGTCGGCTTGGGGACTGAAGGGACTCGGGTTCGGTTCCGGTCAAGGGCATGTGCCTTGGTTGCGGGCATATCCCCAGTGGGGGGTGTGCAGGAGGCAGCTGATCGATGACTCTTTCTCGTCGATGTTTCTAACTTTCTATCTCTCTCCCTTCCTCTCTGTACAAAATCAATAAAATATATTAAAAAAAAAAAAAAAAAAAAAAAGAGCAAAGGACTTGCACAGACATTTCCCCAAAGAAAATATACAAATAGCCAATAAACACATGAAAAATGCCCAATATCACTGCTCATTAGAAAAAAGCAAACAACGAGATAGGCTTCACACTTTCTAGGATGGTTATAGTAAAAATGATAAATAACAAGGATCAGTGACAATGTAGGAAATTAGAACCTTCATATATGACTGATGGAAATGTAAAATGGTATAGCTGCTATAGAAAGCAATTTAGTAGTTCCTTACAATTTTAAACATTGAGTTACCACATGGCCCAGCAATTTAACTCCTAGGTATATAACTAAGGGAATTGAAAACATATCTACACAAAATCTTTTGGGGATGACAGAAAGTTCTAAATTTAGATTGTGGTGACAGTTGCACAACTCAGTGAGTACACTAAAAACTACTGGACTGTGTACTTTGAGTGAATTGGGAAGTATATGAATTTTATCTCAATAGAGCCAGTTAAAAAAGGAAAAGAATGGAAAAGCATATTCCACGCTAATATTAATCAAGAAAAGTAAATTTTACAGTATTTTAAATGGCTATATTAAAGTAAATTTCACAGTAAAGATTATTGCTAGAAACAAAGAAAGTCATTTTATAACAATAAATGATTTGTCAGTTCATAACAATCCTAGCCTGATGTACCTATTAACATAGCTTCAAAAACATAAAGCAAAAGCGAACAGAACTACAAGAAGAAATCATCAAATCTACAATTATGGTGGAAGATTTCTACACCCTCTTTCAATAATTGATAGAACAAATAAAAAATCAGTAAGAACATAGAAGACTTAAAACAGTACAATAAACCAATTTGATCTAATGATCATTTATAGACCCAACATTCTTTTCAAGTGAACACAGAACATTTACCAAGATGAACCATATTCTGGGCCATGAAATAAGACTCAATAAACTGAAAAAGATTCACGTAATCAAAGTATGCTCTCTGATTCACATCTACTTCATATACAAAACGCCAACTGAATTTCTGTCTCTAAATAAATGCTGAAAACATACACCAAATCACAGGAATAAAAATGTCTAATCCTACCTGAAAAAGATCCAAAAGAGGCTTCCAAGAGAGCATTAAGATTGCAGCTTTGTTGATGTTTTTGGGAATTTCAGAATAAAACAGTGTATTTTCTCTGTTCTCACCAGACATAGCTATAAGAAAAAACAGTCTTTTTAATAATCAGTTTTAAAAATAGCCATCGACTGCAATCATAGTAATAAGTACATAATTCCTTCTATATCTGCAAGTTTTTATACTCTGTGGAATCTATAATAAATGTTAACATGTAGGAGATACATATGCCATATGCCATGAAAATTCGTTTCAATAAAACTTGCTATCAGAATGAAACTTGAGTTTCAATAAGATATCAGATCTTATTTTCCCTCAAAACAAACAAAAGTGTGTAAGATGATATAGGGACAAGTGTCATTTTTAGTTTTTGTTTTATTTTTAGGTTTGTTTTTTTTTTTAAATTGATTTCAGAGAGGAAGGGAGAGGGAAAGAAACATCAATGATGAGAGATTCATTGATCAGCGGCCTCTTGCATGCTCCCTATTGTGAATTGAGCTCCACAGCCAAGGCAAGTGCCCTGACTGGGACACTTCCTGGTTCATGGGCTGATGCTCAACCACTGAACCGTACTTGCCAGGCAGGTTTTTCTTTTTAATTGTCAGCCTCTTACAAATTGGCAAGACTCATGAGATTCCAAATAAGCATGTTTTGTGACAACTTCAGATTACTAAAATTTCTTATTTTTCTGAATCACTAAAGTGCTTATTTAGAAATTAGAGGCCCAGTGTGCAAAATTCCTGCACCGGGTGGGGAGGGGGGTGTCCCTCAGCCCAGCCTGCACCCTCTCTAATCTGGGACCCCTCCAGGGATGTCCGACTGCCTGTTTAGGCCCGATCCTACTGGATGCTCCCAACTGCTCGCCTGCCTTCTTGATTGCCCCTGTTTTTGCCTGCCAGCCTAATCACCCCCTAATTACTCCCCTGCCAGCCTGATTGATACCTAACTGCTCCTCTGCCAGCCTGGTCACCCCCAACTGCCCTCCTCTGCAGGCCCGATTGCCCCCAAGTTCCCTCCTCTGCTGGCCTGGTCACCCCTAACTGCCCTCCCCTGCAGGCTTGATTGCCCCCAACTGCTCTCTCTTGAAGGCCTGGTCCCTCCCAATTGCCCTCCCCTACTGGCCATCTTGTGCCCACATGGGGACAGCCATCTTGTGTGACAGTCAATGTGCATATTACTCTTTTATTAGATACTAGGAGGCCCGTTGCACAAAGATTCATACAAGAATAGGCCTTCCTTCCCTTGGCTTCACTCCCAGCTGCCCGGGAGCCTGCAAGTCCTTGCTCCCTGCAAAGCGCCGCTCCTGTAGCTCCCTCCACCCCACCACTCTGTGCTTGTGTATGCAAATTAACACGCCATCTTTATTGAGTTAATTTGCATGCTCCTGATTGGCTGATGGATATCACAGAAATATGGGAAATTTGCATATTTCTCTTTCATTATGTAGATACCTGTCTGAATTCTAGTTTTTTTTCATTATAAATGTTCTATGACTTTAATCACTAATAAGTTTCAATGAAATATATATTTATATTAAAACAACACAGAAGCTGGTATCTGATTTGCTAAAAATCTCTTTTTCCTTTATTGGGTAAAGGTAAAGGAAAGAGGTCTATATTAAGTAGAAGCCACATCCATTCTGGGAAATCATGCAATTGAATAGAAAGACACAGTAGTACAGAATGAGCTACATACATACAAAAGAGAACTGAAATACATTTTGGTTTTGAAGATGTGAACCAAAAAAAACTCAAAGAAAAACAAATCCCTGCTACCCTAAAAGGTATTAGTAAGGTATCATTTCCATAAAGGGTAGGAGAGAGTGAAGGAAGGAGAAAATAAATCTCACAGTTGGAACAAGAAGCTCTTGAGTGGAACAGTCTCAGCCTAGTGTTTCTGACAAAGGCAGAGAAGACAGTCTGTGGAAGGGCATGGTGACTTCCACACTAACCCTCGCAAAGGCTGGAGATGAGCCCTGAAATAGCCACATCACCCTTTATCCCTTATTTTCCTAAACCTTTCTGAGTTTGTGTTATCTTTTGGAGTAGAAAGTTAAATATTAGCTGACATTTACTTCCGCACTTAGTTCTGTCTTAAATCTGTTTTGCATATTCCAGAGTTACTTTGTTACAGAATTATTAAGACTGCAGTCACCTATCCACACCATTCCTAATTTTATTAAATGTGATCATTTCCTGTTAAGCCCTCTCCTTCAGCCCTCAAATATGAAAAAACTGGTTCTCAGCTATCCTCAAATGAGAGCCATTCCCCATAATTGTTTCAGTTGTCCCTCTTGAAACTACTCCTTATTCTAAAATGTTTTCCTTGGCCTCATCCATAACCAGTACAAATTTCCAAAGCATGGTGCCAGGGAAGCACTAAACTTAGGCAGGGGAATCACTTCATAAGTTATGTAAATGTCTAACCGCTATGCTTTAACATCTGAAACTAATATATTATTGAATGCCAACTGTAATTAAAATTTATTTTTTAAATGTCCAAGAAATTCTATGTATACATACACCAGTTCTGTGTAAGCACAAAATGAGCTTTCCTCATTGTTTCTTTCCTGATGACACACTGGTATTAACTGGTGTTTGAAGTATATTAAAAATTTTTAAACAATGGATTCTTATTTAGAAAAATATTTTTGGGACATCCTATAAAATGAAACTCTGGGGTTGTTAAAGAAATAAAGAATGAGTCTATAGTTATCAATATGGATTCTTGCAGAGAATATTTCTTAAAATACACACACACAGGACAATGTAGCTAAGTGGTTAGAGCATCAGCACACAGACCAAAGGGCCTCTCTCGGGTTTGATTCCCTATCAAGGATATGTACCTGGTTTGCAGATTCCATCCCCAGCCCAGTCAGGTTGTGTATGGGAGGCAACCAATTGATGTGTCTCCCACAGCGATGTCTCTCTCTCCCCACCTCATTCCTTCCCTTTTTTCTCTCTCTCTAAAATCAATAAAAAATATCCTCAGGTGAGGATTAACAACAACAAAAAGCAAACACACACACACACACAATGGGGATGGAAGTCTAATGAACAAAATAAACTGATGAACAAAATAGATCTAGAGACATAGAATCATAGAACAGACTACAGAACCCCAGAAGGCAGGCAGGGGAGGGAGGGTGGGTGGATGGGAAGTGATCAACCAAAAGACTTTCGTGTGTGTGTGTGTGTGTGTGTGTGTAGACACACACATATATTTATGCATAACCCATGGACACAGACAATAGGGTGATGAAGGTCTAGGCAGGAAGGTGGACTAGAAGGGGTCCATGGGGGGGGGGGGGGGAAGGGGCATATGTAATACTTTCAACAATAAAGATTTTAAAAAATTTTTAAAAGCACGTATGTACACGTGATTAAACAATAAATATTAATAAGTAATAAATTAATCAGTGGTATATTTAATTTATACAAGCCTTAAATCTGAAGTGAATAGGGAAGAAGAGCCCAAAACCATCCTCAGCAGCAGCTACTGAGGATGGAAGCAAACTAATGGTTTTATTATTTGTGCTCTTAATCTGACCATTACTAAGGAAAGGCATTTTGATCTAGCTTTAGAAAGAATTAATTTCTGGCATCTTTAATTTTGAAAATAAGATCATGATTAACCACAATTTGACACATGAAAGTAAAATAAAGTTAATGGGATATACCAAGACTTCAAAGAAGCTTTTTGTTGTTGTTAATCCTCAAGGGAGCATACGTTTTCCATTGATTTTTAGAGAGTGGAAGGGAGGAGAAGAAAACTCAATAAGAGAGAGAGAGATATTGATTGGTTGCCTCCTGCACATGCCCCACTGGAGCCAGGAATGGAACCTGCAACTAAGGTATGTACCCTTGACTGGAATCCAACCCGGGACCTTTCACTCTGCGGGACAACATTCCAACCACTGAGCCAAACCTGCTAGAGCCAAAAAAGTCCTCTCCCCCTCCTCCCTCTCCCCGCCCCATGGAACCATCACTGATGCCTTTATTTATTTACCAATTGCATCTAGCCTCTAAGTTTAAATTAAGAAAGCATTTCCTTTCAGAAACTGACTTCATACTCACCAAGGTAATAGATCCTGTCTGAATGAGGCCCATCTGGATCATTCCTCTTTACAAACATAAAATCATGTGGTGCCTTAGCCATCATGTAGCCATGATATTTTCTGGTATCAGCCAGCAGCTTTTTAAGCTGACTCCAGGAATACCGCTCCACATAAAACGGCTCCAATTTAGGCTGATCCCCCGATTCAATATTCTCCTCACACTCTGCAGTTTCAAAGATCTCAACACCCAGCTGTTCTGTTTCCATTGCTGCTGCCATGTTGCATTTTCCTAGAAAAACGAAGCACATGAAGTTGTTCTCAGGCCTACCTTCTCTCATATTAATTAGAATGACAGTTTGATAGGGACCCTGCACCCTTCCTCCAATGCAAAAAAAAAAAAAAAAATTTGAGCACGGGTGCAATGAAACCTAGTAAGAAAAGCTCCCTCTTCTCTGTGCTGTTTAAAAATAAGATTAAAAAAAATTGAGGTCATGTCTATTTCACATTGACTCCAAATCCCTTTGGGAACCTTTATAAAAGGCTCTCCTTAGGTATCTCTTGCCAAAATTCCTTTTTTCTTTCCCACACTGGAAGGAAACAGGCCATGTGCCAGTTGGCTGTTATGCTCCTTCCAAGAGATGTCAACAGGGAAGCTGAATGTGCCAAGGGAGTTAAGTGCTTCTGTACTTTAAAAAGTGACACATTTAATAAATGTGGACTTCTTCAGCTAACAGAAATAATCATGACCTATTAGGACAGTGATACAACTGTCGCAAAACAACATACTTTTAATAATTTTCTGAGGACACTTACTCAAGATAATATAAATACTGTTTCCTTTTAATTGAAACTCAAAGCAACAAAAGACTTAATGGCTGGTTTTTCTTTGTCGTCTGCTCTTGCCTAGACATCACTATCTTATGATTACTGTGGTGACTCTATACTATATGGAATCTATATGCCTATTATTACAGATTATACAAGTTTTACTCTCCTGATTAAATGAGAGGGGAAAAAGTCACTACTTCAAGTGACTTTAATAGTCGAAGTAGTTCATACAGAAAGTAATTGATGGCTCACTGGTTGAGCATCAACCTATGAACTGGGAGGTCAGCGTTCGATTTCCAGTGGAAGATGTGCAGGAGACAGCTGATCAGTTAATTCTCTCTCATCATTGAACTTTCTATCTCTCCCTCTCCCTTCCTCTCTGAAATCAATAAAAATATATTTTTAAAAAATTTATTTAAAGAAAGCAACTGATGTTGGTTATCAATATTTTGATAAAAGTTTGAGCCCAATTTACCAGTCCAACCTCCAAACAGTGTTAATATTTCATCTATTAATGATGTTTCTTTTCATAATATAAATCCAGAAGATGATGTATTTTTGCTTTATCTATTTCAATATTCAAATGTATCAGGAGCAAAGTATCAAAGAAAAATAACAAGCAGTGTTATTACAAGCCATTGTGTGATATTCTGATATGTGTTACTCATGACATTACTAAAAAGGAAGAAAAAAACAAACAAACAGAAATTCTGTGGCAATCAGTTCTTTTTGAACTATTAAATGTCAAAAACTTGTGGACTTGGCAGACTGCATTTATGTAAGCAATTTCACATTGTATTTTATGTAAGCAAATGAACAACAATCAATACATGGTTTATATTTAATATACTTTTTTAAAGATCAATTTCACAGGTTAACAGGAGTTAACTACACAAAAAAAGTAATTAGCAGGTATGGGTTGTGAATTAGCCCATCAGGCATGCAATTTGGTATGCAAAATAAACTAAACTGTGGCCAGGATATTGTATCTTTCCTTCATGCTACAGTAAATTGTACTATGATTTTCAATGTAATAGTAGCAAAAATGGCCAGAAAAGCCATTTGAGAATTACATCAGGTATACAACATGTAACATTAATGCAAGTTTATATCAGTATACAACTTGTAATATTATTACAACTGGGCATTTACCACCAATGATTAAAATCCAAATAGCTCAGAAGAGAAAAAGTAATTTAGCTCAACTGGTATTCAGCATGCCAATATTAAATGGCAGTACTTGACAAAGGTGGTTGTTTGTCTGCCTAAAAGCTAGTGTAGGCCTACTTTCTATCAAATACGTCAATGGATCTAGCTTTATTTTTAATGGAGCGAAAGAAGCAGCTTCACAAATTGGGTTCATTTTTCTCAATTCCTCTTGTGTTAAATTTGGAACTTCATCACAAAGAACTGGGCAAGGGAATAGAATAGGGAGCTAGGCAGACAGACCTCTGAACTCTTACTGCCCAGCTCTTTGAATTATCATTAATTTGATTGACATTTCTCCTATATAAAAGTTGCATTAGCTTGTACTTAAGCAAAATTATTAGTATTCTTAAACTGTAAGATCCCTGGACTATTTCTCTATGTTTCTACACACAAACAAATTTTACAGTTCAAATGACACTACTACTCCATGTTTAAGACAAAGAGAAATCCTGCATTTCCTAAGAACTGATATATAACTTTAGTACTTTTCACAAATGTGTAACTTAATGATTTAATTTTCAGATTTTCATAATACCTACACATATAGATACATTCTCGAAATATATGATCTGAGTTTTCTAATTTCAAAAATTAGAAAATAGGGTCAGCATACATTCTCAGCACAGTGCATATATATTTCAGTACTCTCATCTACCTCCTCATTTAAGGCCCTTCCCTGATGCTTACCCGATTGTATTTTCATCTGCTCAGATCTCTTCCACATTCAAAGAGATCTTTTCCAAGTGACTCAACTTCAAGCATAGATCCCGCTGCTCATTCTGCTCTCTTCTCACAGGAGTCTTGCCTTTTCTCACATCCAATCCTATTCACCAAGACAATAAAATAAGATATAAGGCTGCTAATCAGTATCAAAATGAATCATATGTGACCAAAAAGATTAAATTATAAGTCTCATACATACTTAAAACTTACACAGAAATTTTCTTATACAGAAACTTATCAAGTTTCTTATACTGAAATTTTCAGAATTTAACTGAATTATTTTGTATCTACATTTAGATTTAAATTATTTCAGAAATGTACTGAAAAGAATATCCTAACAATAGTATAAATCCTGACACCCAGATATACATTGAAAGCTATGGAAAAGCTTCAAAAATATAAAAGGCATACAGATATGAGGTTACTCGTTGACTATTACAAATCCTCAAAAATGACAGATGATTAACAAAGTTAATTTCTATTTTTCTGATCCTCTGTTTTACATAATACATTTGTATTATTTTACATAATACATATTGAGCTGTTTGGAGACAGAATAGACTCTGTAAAATAACCAAAAATGACAGAATAGGCCATTTTTGTGGGAAGGGAACTAACTTGCATTTAATAACTTAAGATTTTTACAAGATAAAGAATGTACTACCCATTTTAAGTACATTCCACTTTTTTTTTTTCCCCATGTACAGTCTTAAAATAACTAAACTGGGTAACCTTTCTGGAAAAGAAAGCATTAAGGTTGTTGAAATTATAGCTTAGTAAATGAAAAATAAAGGAGGAACTGTGATTACACCTGTTATTTTACCAGTTTTAATTCTGAAGAGAGAGGTAATGAGAAAAACTCAATGGCAAATGGAGGGAAAACGGTGAAGTTATGACAGCACGGCCACCATGCAGGAAGTGTCAAGACACCTTCCCAAAGCACTATTAGCCTCGCAGAGAAGAGCATGTTGGATTAAAAAACAGTTTCAGATAGGATTCTTGAATTTGGACCCACTGACATATCATCTCTTCATTTTTAATCCAAGAGCCAAATCGTCATCCACTTTAACACCCCAAGCCTCACTGAACCAGCCTAGCTATTACTCCCCAGGGTCCACAGCTAGGTGAGAGGTTCATCATCGGAGAGTGGACCCAGACTTTGAAATCTATGAATGAGGAATGTCCAGAAGGGGGGCTAGGGAGAGGCCAAGTCTTGGGAGGAAAATGTGTAATCAGAGAAATTTTTAAAAGGAAAGTATCCTGCCCCAGGTGAGTGAAGCAGGAGAGGTGGTAGTGAGCAGGGAATCGACCTCAAGGGATGCAGGAGAGAGAAAAGAACACCGGCTGGGAAACCGGGGAAATCTCGGTCCAAATGCGGGACCTGCCCAGTCGGGCTTTAGGCAAATCCCTTCGCCCGCACTGGGGGATTCCGTTTCCCCGCCAGTAAGCCTGGGCCATCCCCGCTCCCCACCCCCGAGGCTCGGGAGATAACGGACGTGGACGAGCGGAGGCCTGCACCCAGCACAGGGGGCCCAATGGACGTTGGTGGACGGAATTGCAGAGCCTCCGCTTCCTCTTCCGGCAAGTGGGACCCCGCAGGCCGGCCCGCGCAGGCCGGGCGTCGGCGCACCGCGGGGCGGGCTGCCGGGGGCGCGCGGGCGGCTCGGGGAGGCCGAGGCCCGGGTGGGCTGCGGCCCAGGCCTGGCAGGCGCGGAGGAAGGAGGGGCGGATACTGCACCTTCCCCCCGGCCCCGCCCGGACCGTCCCGACGCGCGTCAGGGTGCGGGCCTGCGCCGCTTCATGCCGCGCCGCCTCCTCCCCGACCCGGCTGGGCTGCGGCAGCTCCCTCGGCGGCGGCGGCGCCGGCGGTAGCCCAGGCAGGAGGCTGCACTTAGAGGCTGCAGGGGGACCGCTCGGGGGCTCCCGCGGCTCTGGCACTTCCGGTTCCTCGGCCCCGCCCCGCGGCCAGCGGAGGCGGCGCGGGGCGGAGAAGGGCGCCGCTCCCTGCTCGGTGGCGTCCGTGGTCACAGTGCCCTCTCGTGGCCGGAGGAGCGAACCGGGCGTGGGATGGAGACGGGTGCCTTGGGGGACAGAGGTGACATCTAGGAACAGAAGTGCGATTTGCTGGAAGTCAAAGGACGAACAGCAGCGCGTCTTTACTCCTCCAGTGTTTTCATTTAAATGGCCCGGAGCAGGCCGAGTTGTAGGCGCTGAGATTACAGTAAGGAGCAAGCTAGGCCAAGACCCCTACCCCTTCATGGAGATTAGGTAGAAAGGGAAAGGACCAGGCCTTCAGGGATCCTCTAAGTGTCTCATTGTTAGGGTGGAAAGAAACTTGAACTTGGAGTCAGAAAGCTTGGTTCTAGCCGAAACCGGTTTGGCTCAGTGGATAGAGCGTCGGCTTGCGGACTGAATGGTCCTGGGTTTGATTCCGGTCAAGGGCATATACCTTGGTTGCAGGCACATTCCCAGTAGGGGGGGATGCAAAAGGCGGCTGATGGATGACTCTCATCGATGTTTCTAACTATTTCTCTCCCTTCCTCTCTGTAAAAAAATAAATAAAATATATATATTTTTTTAAAAAAAGGGGGGGGGGGAGAAAGAAAGAAAGAAAGAAAGCAAGCAAGCAAGCTTGGTTCTAGTACTAATTAGAATCTCTAAGCCATGATTGATTGACTGATTTGGTTAATCCTCACCTGAGGATATTTTTTTTCCATTGCTGTTTAGAGAGAATGGGAGGGAGGAGAGAGAGAGAAACATCATGTGAGAGAGAGACCTCAATTGGTTGCCTCCCAACCACACTCAAGCTAGGGCAAGAGCCAGGGCTGGAATTCGAAATCTAGGTACATGCCCTGACCTGGAATCACCTGCGACCCTTCGGTGCATGGTGGATCCACACCGATTTCTTAATCTGTAAAAGAGATGTAACAACATGTCACTTAGTTGCAATTAAGAAAAACCATGTGTGTCACATTAACACATAAATTTGGAGAAAGTGGGGCCCAGGGCAGAGAAATGAGGGACACTCGCTATAATCAGAACCAGAGACAGGTCCTCTGACCCACAATTTCTATCCTAGTCCTTATCATTCATTGGCTGAGAGAAAGAGAAAAAGGGAGCCTGGGCAGATGACTAAGTGGTAGGCATAGAACAAAACTGTGGGAAAGCTAGGCCTCCACTGTTTCTGTTATTACAAGGAACCATGTGCCAGAAGTGTGTGTCACTAGGATCCTATTTAATAAAAGCCTAATGTGCTAAGTGTCCATTCATCTGTACCCTCAACACCCCTCCACCCCCACCAGCACCAGGTTGAAGGTGCTTTGATCCGTAGGTTAGTTTGCTGCTGGGGTCTGGGCAAGACAGGTCGGACATGTCCTGGAGCCCTCCTGTGCCTCCTGTGGTCCCTCCCCAGCCCCATTGTGCATGGGTAGAGTCTCTCGGCCTGGCCTGTACCCTCTTGCAATCTGGAATCCCTCAAGGGGAGGGGGGGGGGTTGCAGAGGCAGTTTCAGCCTGATCCCGGTAGGCCAGGCTGAGGGACCCCCACCAGTGCATGAATCTGTGTACCCGGGCCTCTAGTTTATTATAATAGCATTAATAAAAGATCCATTAGGGTGTGTTTCCACTCCTCCACATGTAATTATCCACTCTGAGGTTAAATGAGTCTCCCCTCAGGTTTATTTTTTAGTTGAGCCCCTAAAAGAAAGGTACAGACATTTTCACTGGAATGCCTCTATGAATTTTCTGCACATGATCCAAAAGTCGATTTTAAGGCTTTGAATGCACATACAAAATACAATGAAATATCCTACACTTCATTTCTTTCATCCAACAAGTGTTTATGGAATCCCTGCTCTGTGCCTGTCATTGTTACAGACAATGGAACTACAATAGTGACCAAATTATTACATTCTAATAAGAGGAAAAAGACCTGAAAAAAAAAAATATATATATATATATATCCCTGAGGAGGTAACAGACTTGCTTAAGTCACATGGCTAATTTAGGATTAAACTAGATTTGCATTCAGATTTCGTGGTTTCCAGTCTTATCATCTTTCTTTATGGCAGGCTTAGAAGGCCTCAGACGCTGAGAAAGCTGCAGGGGAACATCTCCAACATGCCCCCTGGCAACCTTGAATGTATCCAATCAGGCATTGCAGGCAAAGGCTTGAATCGAAGCATGTCTGAGTCTTAGCAGAATGTCTTGTGATCTTTCCAGAACAGGAGAGGATGGGAGGCTTATGAGGACCTCAACCAATCAGCAACACATACTAATATCTTCCTGGGTTTACACGTAGAGCGTGACCCACGTTAAAGGAAGAGAAAATGCCGGGAACCCTGGCTTCCCAGGGGGACATGTCTTGTAGCAGGAGCAACATTTTTAAGTCACATACCGATGTGCACATACATTTCATACCTTAGTTTTTCTATCATTCAACTCAACCTGATTTATAGGACCCATTTCACTTAATAGCAAAAAGTATAATCTTGACTTACCAAGTATAATCTTGGCATGGCTCAGTGGTTGAGATCTGACCCCTGAACCGGGAGATTGCAGTTAGATTCCGGTCTGGGCACATTCCCAGGTTGCAGGCTCGATCCCCAGTGCAGGGGTGTGCACGAGGCAGCCAATCAATAATTCTCTCTCACCAGTGATGTTTCTATCTCTCCCTGAAGTCAATAAAACATACTTTTTTAAGAGTATAATTCTAGGCAGACCCAGTCATACAATTCAGGGTCTTTCCTGGTGGAGGGGATAATGACTAGTCCCTGGTCTATACCAGGATCTGCTAAGGTATCCTTTATTGCTGCTGTAGTGGTCTGAAGAGTGTCCTCCCAAAATTCATATCCTGCCAGAACCTCTAATGAGATCCTATTTGGAAATTGGGTCTTTGTAAGATGAGATCATATTAGATTACGGTGGGCCCCAAATCCAATGAGCAGTGTCCTTTTAAGAAGGCCATGTGAAGACATAAAGACACACACACACACACACACAC